GTCAAAATGGGGGAGACGTGTACAGATTGACTTTCTTGCTCTATAATATACCCACATATATATATAATAATCATAGTAATAAAAAGAACTAATTGATTAATTAATTAATTAATTAACTAATTAATTAATTAATTAATAATAATAAATAATAATAATAATAGTGATAATAATAAATAAATAAATAAATAAATAACTATATATATTTATATATATATCGAAAAATATGATATATAAATATAATACTTTCATTTATCTAGCCTGATATGTATATTCGTCCTGGGCGATAGTTCGCCCAAAGTTAATTTTGGGGTTATTTAGGGTTGACTTCGGGCTTACTTGGTGTTGGTCTAAGGTTTACTTCAAGTTTTGTGCAGATGTGTGGGTGTGTATTTATATATGTATATATATATATGTATGTATATGTATATATATATATGTATATATGCCTGTGTGCGGATGGATGTCTATATCTACAAGCATAGTATACAAAATCGCACGAATAATATAATAAATATATATATATATTATACATCTACACGTACATATATATGCCTACATTGCCCATTCTTGTTGGCGACGCAGAAACCTCGCAGCTTCTACGGCGTGCCTCACGTCCATCCGTGGCTTTCATAAAGACCAGGTTTGGATGCGTGACGGAGACCCCATTCCTGGCAGTCACGGTAGTCACCGGGATGATCTTATGCTGGGCGGAGGAGTTACCCTCATCAAACTTGGGAATGGGAATGGGGAGATTGCCGATGTCTTGATGATGTTCCATGTTTTTCCCTGGAAATACCAATTTTAAAGATAATTGCACTAAAAGATATTTGAAAGGATTTCCAGTTGGCATATTTGATTTTCAGAGGGTATACAGCTAAGGACTTCCCTAGAATAGTGGATTGCAATGGGATAAGAGATAAAGCCGTGAGTAGCCTATGGATATCATCCCTGAAAAGGTGATCCCAACCTGCCAATATCCAACAGTTGGCACAGCCCGTGACCGTGAAAATCATCGACCATTCATGCATGCAGTACCCATGATAGTCATCAGTCATCATAATCTAATCATGATAACCAATGATAATCAATGATAACAGTTTCCCAACCATGTAGAACATCAGAAGATATCAGAAGAATCTTGAAGCAACAGCAGTTGCAGTTCCACAGCTGTCGAGCCACTGCGGGGTGGCAACATGGTTAGGGGTTGTTTCGCTTCAAACAAATGAGCATCCCGTCTATCCTGCAGATCCTGATATATTCGTTTGACAGCATATTTTCCAGCCAGCCACATTCGTTTATATGCGTGTTTGCAATCTTTATCAATCTTTGCGAGGCCCATGCAAACCGCCAGTTCTGTTTGTAATTGCAAACACAATCTTGTGTTTTTCAATGTTTGCAAATATGTCTTTTCCTGTTTTTCAATCAGGCTCCCAAGTCGCGCTTCAATTTCTCACCTGCCATCTCGATATTTCACCAGGTAGGTGTTGAGGGCCTGAGTGGTTGCCCCCTTTTGCCCCCTTTTGTTGAGCTGCGACATGCGAAAAGGTGACATGCTCAAAGCAGCCGTGAATCGTCATTCAAGATCCATCAAGATTTGCCCAGTTTTGATCCAGTTTTCTGATGATAACCCCAATTCAGCATACATTTCTGCCGCTGGGTCCCACACGGCGGCCACCAACAGGGCCACCAAGACAGCACCCAAAAGTCGCCGTGCGGCGGGTGGAATCTGGGACTCATGGACACTGAGGAATAATAAGGATAAACTTGGGTGTTATTCGGTTCATTTCTTTCTGTTCCATGTTTTTTTGAAATACGTGTGTATCTTGAGTTGGATTTGTCGCTTGTTTTTTTTTGTGACTTGGACACTTATATATTTGGGCTCTGTGTGTTTTCAAGAGCACATCTATGGGTATCTTTGCGTTTTGGCAGATATAAAACTGGAATGGTTTCAATATCTGAATTTGAACGCCAACATCGGGTCAGATTAAATTTTTGCATCGGGCAACAGTTGGATCCTGCTATTGGGGTCTCATTGAGAATTTGGTTGGCGAAAACCCTTGATGAGGGTGAAAAGCTTGATATGATATCTCCTGAATTCAATCATTGGTTCACTCTGCCCATGACTGCCTGCTGCACGCCATATCCTTCCACCTGTTGTCCCTTCACCTTAGCTCGATAATTCGATATGCGAAATGAGGGCAATTAAGGGTATCCGATTCCATCTACCATCTATAGACCTCCATGATTCCCCAACCATTACTAACCATTTGACCACTACTACCCATTAGATACCATTACTAACCACTACTAACCATTACTTATAGTCATCATCCCCATGTGACCTCCACTCCGCCTGTCGTGGCATCGCCCCGGGCGCCGGTGGCATCCAGTGGGCCACCGCCACCCGGCCGGCCGTTGGCAATCGGCCGGCCTTCGCAGGACTTGAAAGGTTTGAAGCTGCGAAAGGTCACGGTTACCACTGGACACTGTTGGTGAGCCATCCATTCATAGCTAGGAAATGCTAGGAATAGCATCCAGCAACATCCAGTAACAATCCGGGATATGAAATGATAGGAGATCAGTGGAGATCAATATGTAACATATGTACCAGTAGTACCGCACAAGGCGGCGGCGGAAGTTTCAAAAATAGGAAACCTATAGGAGAGGTTGGTTGTTGTGAATCAGGGATGGGAGAGCGAATCCACTGATGGACCGAAAGGTGCTTGAGGTCTCCTCTCTTTCGCTCTCTTTCTCTGACTATCTACCTACCTACCTACCTACCTATCTTCTATGTATCTATCTATCTATCGATCTCTCTCTCTCTCTCTCTCTTTCATCTGTCTAGCTGTCTAGCTGTCTAGCTGTCTATCTGTCTATCTATCTGTCTGCCTATCTATCTATCTATCTCTCTCTCTCTCTCTCGCCACAACGGCGTGCGCTTTTTCGACATCTCAACTGACAAAAGTGGTCCGTACATGGTGTGTTTTGCACATTTTGATTTCGAAATGTGCTTCGCGCCACAACGGCGTGCACTTTTTCGACATCTCAACTTCCAAAAGTGGTCTGAGAATGGTGTGTTTTGTACATTTTGACTTGGAAATGTGCTTCGCGCCACAACGGCGTGCAATTTTTCCTCTCTCCTCTGGCCAGCTGGCTCCGCACCCGCCGCTTTAGCGAGCCTACTTTTCGACCCTCCGGAGCCACAAATCGTTGGAAAAACACAGTGAATCGCGACTTTCCTACCTTTTCGCGCATCTCCATCTTCTTTCTTCTTACTCTTTCTCTTCTACTCTTCTCTCTTCTGATCTTTCTCTTCTCTCTGCCTCTGCCCTGCTCTGCTTTTCATCTGTCCATATTGTCGGAAGTTTGACTTCTAAACTTCCTTCGATCATCTAAAACTGCTTAGGTGTTTTGAAGCGTCACAGACCTGGTGAATGACGTCGAGGGATCAAAAGCAACCAACGATGTTTCTACAACAGTACAGCATGGTGGGGGAACAAGTACAACATGTACAATACCGAACGAAGAGTACAAGGGCATTCGAGGCGGCATTTTTCTTTCGCGCACTGAACACAGCAAGTGTCCTCTAGACGATCTGTGCAGTAACCTATCATAATCCTGGCAAAAGCCCCCCTCTAGGAAAATACACAGCAATCTCGGATGCCCAAAGTGCTTTTTTTCCTGAGCACTATATCCCTCTTGATGATTGAAACCACACCCACAAACCTTTACATACATACATTATTATACGTACATTTACAAAGTCTCACACTAGAAGGCACTTGACCGAAAATGTCAAGAGGATGAGCTTATGATAAATGATGTGCAAAAACCAAAGCCTTCCACATCTGATTCACAATATAATCAAGGTTTATCCAGCAACCATGTAACAAGCAACCGTGCCGTTTTGTGCTCAGGGAGGCTTTTTCACCACAAAAAACAGTTTGTTACAACTACAAATCGGCTTCCGATCCCAACCAGAACTTTGCAACTGTATAATCACTGACTCTGACATAATTAATGAAAATCCATGTCCTTCTGAGTGGTTGCTCCAGCCATGAAGTAGATGTTGAGAAGTCCCTCAAAGGTTGACAGTTGACACCCCAGCCGTCCAGGAATACACCAGTGGATGAATGGACAATGTGATGGGCTGATAGTCTTTCAATCAAACATATATGGCATACAAATAAGTAGAAGAAAAAAGAAGAACAACTCCATAAAACTCCGTATGCATCTTTGGCCTGTCAGGTCTGAAACATCATCAAACGATCAAGGCCGTTGATCTGTTGAGACCTGGTTGAGCTCAGACCATGCCATGCGCGGCACGAATTTGCTGCAGGGCCATCCCAAATGGCAATTAGTCGTCGCATGTCGTCGCTCACCCAGCGATGTTTCCTGGCCCAGTGTGAAGCCGATCCCACCAGGGTTACACAAATACCTGCTGGAACCCTCAACACTTTAGTGAGCAAATGGATGCAAATGGGGTCTTCCCAATATGTCAGCAGCTCCCACCACGTTTTTTTTGGCAAAACCTGATGACCCAACCACCATTTGTAGGGCTTGGTCGCCAGCATCCCATTTGACCCCAGTATACCCCAGTGGGTTACGGAAAAACCGCAGAGGTCAAAACCCGGCTTGATTAGGTTTGTAGAAGTGCTACTCCGCAAACATATGGACCCCTCCAGCCAAACAACCAGCAGGTCAACAGTCATCCTAGTTTGACATTGGTTGGGTATCGTACATGGTCAAAATGATCATCCCCAACAGGACCTCAACATTCATCCATAGGTTGACATAGGTTACGTACTACTACCTAGTTATAGTTATAAACCAACTGAACGAACCAAGAACCCCTATATCCCTATAAGTTATGGTTATAGTTACCAACTGAACGAACAAACAAACATCAAGAAACATAGACACATGTCAATTTTGGTTGCTTCGATTCCCATTTTTGGGCGATCCGATCTCCATTCCCCAACCGAACCATCCTCGTCCCCTCAGAGACTCATGCGGTTCGCCGGCGGGGACGGCGCCAGGATGCGTGAGGGCGCGAAACCCTGCGTCAGCTTCCTTGGTGTTTTAAGATGTTTTAATTTAAGGAGGGATCCTTGAAGAAACCCCAAAGAAACCCGAAGCAAACCGTATACACAAACCCTAAGGAAACCCTAAACCCTAACCTAAACCCTATGAAAGTGATATATATATATACATATACCTGGACATCCAAAAGCTGCGTTTTTTTGTCTGGACTGAAAAGTAGTGAGCGACCAAGAATCGAACAATTGCTGATTCTGCCCTCTGTCAGTCACATTTGGAAGGACCAAAAATATGACGCAAAATGACGCAAAAAAGACGCGAAAGACCAACTTTTTGACACCAAAACTGTGTCATTGAATCCATCACTCTTAGCCCACAAGTGATTTTTAGGCCTGCACCTGAAAATCCACAAAGATCGAAAACTATGCGGCTCAAGGACTGTCCAGGTATATATATATATATAGTGGAGTAGCTGTGGGGCGTAGCGTGCGGGTCAAAATGAATGTCCATGCCTTCCCGTCACAAACGAAAAGCTGGTGGAATGCATTGGGTCTCGTCGTCTGGGATCCCATCATGGCTACTTTCCATCCCCATTTCAGGATGATCAAATCATTTACTGGTGCGTTTTACGTTGATTGTTGATACTTAGCCAGTGGATAATTCCCGAAAATTCCCTACGTTTAGCACAAGTAAGATCATGTCAATGTCAAAGCCCACTGGAATGTTCACACCGCAGGCAATTTCTCTGGCTCATCTTCGAGATTGATGAAGTTACCCATGATATGTTCCAGCAAGAAATCGATGAATTCCCGGGTCTCCCCCTGCGTCTCCCCTGGGTCTCCCCGACTCATATGCTTCGGCCGCTTCTTCCCGAAGTCTCGCTTGTTCCACTGCCAGACCTCTGCAGGCCATCTTTTGGGGGGGCTGCTTCAACAGTAAACCCGCAGGGAGGTGCTCCCGCAGTATGTTCGATCATGTTCGATACGTCATGAACATCTGTAGACCATATTACTATAGTTTAATATAGTTTAATATAGTTTAATATATGTTTAGCTATGTTTACCTCGGTAGCTAAGTATGGGTCACCACCTTGGATGAGGTATTTCACAACGTATAGTCATGGTCGTGGTCATGGACCCACAGAATTACAACTCTGAAGCAAGAGTACAACTCTGGCTTTCAATGGAAAGCCAAGGAGCATCTCTAGTATGTAAACATTTTTGAGCCTTCTGTTTTCGCAGATTGAACATGTTACGCCATAGCCAAAATGCCAAATTGCTACCTGCTGTTTGCCTTGCGCCGTCCCAACAAGAAGCACAGCACACTCTCATTCTGAATGGTCGGGTGCAAAAAGACACAATTTTAGCCGATCAGTAACTGGTTGGTGGTATACCTACCCCTCTGAAAAATATGAGTTCGTCAGTTGGGATGATGACATTCCCAATATATGGAAAGTCATAACGTTCATGTTCCAAACCACCAACCAGGTAAGTATATCCCTCAATGATCCTCAATGATCCTCAATGTTCAGCAAACAATTCAGCCACTAACTCCACCAAGGATTACCCAGCATGAATTGAATCACATGATATGTGATTTTGGACCACCAGGACCGAGGATATGTGCATCCCATATCATCCCCACCAAAATAAAACGGAATCACATCCCATACATTTCAGAAATGCCACAGGAAATCTATGAACCTAAGCCGACGCAGGGGCGCCAGGCCCGCTGAACAAATAGATGTTTTGGTCACTTGGCGATTTCAAGATATCCCAAATTTTGGTCAAGATGGTCAATGAACATCAATGAACATAAGAAGATTTTGAAGCAAAATTCACCATGTTTTGGTCAATGGACAATGTCATTTAATATATTTTGGTGAAAATTCACCATATGTTCATTTCATTGGTCAATGAACATAAGAAATTGAAATTTTCATACATGTTCTATGAAAATCATGATTTATCACCCACTCTGCTTCATTCCATAACCATCATGTCATGACTGAGGTTCCCAGACGCATGGACTCACAGCGCCTTGGGAGGTGGATCAAATGATCGACGCTGAGAAAGGGGTTTGGGCGGCTGGGAAGATGAGTGAAACCACCGAAAAATGAGTGATGTTTAGGGGTCAAACTGTTCATTGTATACTTTCATTTACCCTAGAGGGTAAAACATGGAACAACATTCTCCAACCACATGTTTTTTGCGGTGCTTCATGGTGGTTCTCATATTTACTACTGCACGTTGCTATTGGGAGCAAGATAATGTCTGGGTCGGACCTAGGACGGTGTTTCTAACGAATCGGCCCCACCATCAGTAACTACATTGGTTTGCTCATCTGGTGGGTCTTGTCGGTTGTTCCCCTGGTCCTTGTTGTATGTTACATGTGCGCTTGCTGCTGCACATATATATATATATATATATGTGTGTGTGTGTGTCTGTGTGTCTGTGTGTCTGTGTGTCTGTGTGTCTGTGTGTCTGTGTGTCTGTGTGTCTGTGTGTCTGTGTGTCTGTGTGTCTGTCAGTCTGTCAGTCTGTCAGTCTGTCAGTCTGTCAGTCTGTCAGTCTGTCAGTCTGTCTGTCTGTCTGTCTGTGTGTGTGTGTCTGTCTGTGTGTGTGTCTGTCTGTGTGTGTGTCTGTCTGTGTGTGTGTCTGTCTGTGTGTGTGTGTCTGTCTGTGTGTGTGTGTCTGTCTGTGTGTGTGTGTCTGTCTGTGTGTGTGTGTCTGTCTGTGTGTGTGTGTCTGTCTGTGTGTGTGTCTGTGTGTCTGTGTGTGTGTGTGTGTCTGTGTGTGTGTCTGTCTGTGTGTGTGTCTGTGTGTCTGTGTGTGTGTGTGTCTGTGTGTCTGTGTGTCTGTGTCTGTGTGTCTGTGTGTGTGTGTGTCTGTGTGTGTGTGTGTGTCTGTGTGTCTGTGTGTGTGTGTGGTCTGTGTGTGTCTGTGTGTGTGTGTGTCTGTGTGTCTGTGTGTCTGTGTGTCTGTGTGTCTGTGTGTGTGTGTGTCTGTGTGTGTCTGTGTGTGTCTGTGTGTGTCTGTGTGTGTCTGTGTGTGTGTGTCTGTGTCTGTGTGTGTCTGTGTGTGTGTCTGTGTGTCTGTGTGTCTGTGTGTCTGTGTGTCTGTGTGTCTGTGTGTCTGTGTGTCTGTGTGTCAGTCTGTCAGTCTGTCAGTCTGTCAGTCTGTCAGTCTGTCAGTCTGTCAGTCCGTCTGTCTGTCTGTCTGTCTGTCTGTGTCTCTGTCTGTCTGTGTCTCTGTCTGTCTGTGTCTCTGTCTGTCTGTGTCTCTGTCTGTCTGTGTCTCTGTCTGTCTGTGTCTCTGTCTGTCTGTGTCTCTGTCTGTCTGTGTCTCTGTTTCTCTGTGTCTCTCTGTCTCTGTGTCTCTCTGTCTCTCTGTCTCTCTGTCTGTGTCTGTCTGTCTGTGTCTGTCTGTCTGTGTCTGTCTGTTGTCTGTCTGTCATTGTCTGTCTGTCATTGTCTGTCTGTCATTGTCTGTCTGTCATTGTCTGTCTGTCATTGTCTGTCTGTCATTGTCTGTCTGTCTTTGTCTGTCTGTCATTGTCTGTCTGTCATTGTCTGTCTGTCATTGTCTGTCTGTCATTGTCTGTCTGTCATTGTCTGTCTGTCATTGTCTGTCTGTCATTGTCTGTCTGTCATTGTCTGTCTGTCTGTCTGTATGTCTGTATGTATGTATGTATGCATGCATGCATGCATGCATGCAATGTATGTATGTAATGTAATGTAATGTAATGTTATGTTATGTTATGTATGTATGTATGTATGTATGTATGTACAGTATATCATATGTATTTAGCTACACCTCCTGCAAACTAACATATGTGTAGAAAGCCACTGTGAAAGTAGATACAAATTTGTGAACGGCTTTCCCATTTCCCACGCGTTATCATCTTTTGTGGCCAGGCCACCCAAAAAAACAGATAGCCCATGAATTCCCATGGACAAAAAACAATCATCAAATCCTTCAGAAAGCAACGACTTGGGGCTGGCAGCAGCTGGATCCACCGACTCACTACCCAACTTCTCGATTTGTGCCGCCAAATTCTTCTCGGCCTGGTCGGCTACGTTCAAGGCAAGGTGAAAATAGAGCTAAAAGACGGAGATGTTTTTTTTGCATTTCTGAACCCCAAATAGATAGATGATAATAGATGGAAAAGCATGTGTTCATCATCGATTCGTAGGGATTTACTTTTCCATCTATTTGGGAACAACTACACTGTACTAAGTCTTACTAAGTGGACTGATTTTCGTTCAGCCTATGGAAAATATCGCCAAACCTACCATCTCAACTACCCTCTGATACATCATATGGGACTATATTATATCGAATTTGCCTCCTTCATGTACCAGAATCCATCCCAAGAAGAACATCGTTTTCCGCATCATGTCCCCTTGAATTGAAATGTTTCATCTCCGCGGTTCCCATATGTCTTAAATCCCAGTAAGGTCCATTGGAAAGCCCATATCCTAGTTGAATCCCGTGAAATCTCTTTGATATCCACCTATTTGTTGGTGAATTTCACCATATTTCATCATACTTGTTGGTCATTGATTTCGCAGCGTTCAATTGGCTGACTTCGGGCGCCCCGGAAACCCCGGGCGCCTGCTTGTCGTCAAATGTGAGCCGCTGACTCTTTGGAACGCGCGCAATCTTGGGCATGTCAGCCTTGGCAGTGGTGGCTGGCAAGATTGACGATTCCACCATTACAATCCCGATATAAATCCATATCCATTGGCAAAATCATCTTTGGGACCGCATGTTTCAGATTCAGCGGTCTACCCACACGGCCTAAGGGCGGATTGGGGTCATGATTCAGTCTGGTGGTACCCTAAACCCCAACAAATCACTTGGGAGAATCATAGGATATATATACACAATATATATATACATACACACACACGCATATTTGTATATATACACAAAAATAAAAAATATATATATGCATAATGTGCGTGTAATCCCATGAAATCCAATGATATCTCCGTGAGATCATGGAACTATGATTTCACGGGGGTAGTTTGATCACCATTCCATCCCTATTTATGTATACATATTAATGCCATATAGGCGGGATGGAATGGTGTTCTATTAATGGTAAATATATAGATATATTCATGGTAGTTTGATAGAACTACATATTTACCATTAATTCATTGCTAGGCCGCTGCGTACGCGCATCTAGATCATCTAGGTGCCTCATGGAAACTTAAAATTACCATGAAATCACATTAAACCCCCATGGGATCTCCATCTTTTTGACATAAAAAACATCCTGGTGTTCATCCAATTTACTCCCGTAACGCGGCCAAGAAGCCCGTTGTCCACTCAGGGAGGCGACCACGTTGCCCGCCTGCCCCAGATATGCCCTCAACCTCAGTGCCCAGCAATATCACAGGGCCAATCTTAGGTACCTTTCAAATAGGCTGTGATATGTATATATATATATATATATATGTGTGTGTGTGTGTGTTTATGTGTAAATATTATATATGTATATAGTATATACTGTATATAATTGTATAATATGTGTAGAATAAATATATACGTACACACACATATATATATATATATAGATAAATTACTATACAGTAGATGTATATGCACGTGTATAAATGTGTGTATTTTGCTTGCTAGTTATGATTGAGACCCCCATTTACAGCAAAGATCTGAGTAGTGACTCGCCTATTTTGCCAAGTTTTGCCCAGATAAACAAACGTGGCTATGTTAACAAACCTCTCCATATTCGACGGTCACTATACCCTCTGGAAATAGCATTGTCACTACCATCGTGCAGTTTTTTCCCCCATGACCATGAATCAGTGTGCAATAATGCCATTGCAATTGCTATTCATTTTTTCGATTTATATATTTCATTCCCTCTGTGGCAACGGAACAGCGCGAAAAATGCATGAAAATAATCTCTGTTTGAAAGTATAAGACTCATATACGCATATCATTGACAGGAATTGCATCACACAATCGTGGGGCATCCCGTCAACCAATTGGAGCGCACTTCTGATTGTTTTTAAGTCTAGATTCACTTCAGTTTGTTGAACTGTCTTTAGCCTTTGGGGGTCAAAATTCTGAAATGGAAGCACTAAGACTGGGATCATAGAGTGTCCAACACTTGAATTTCACTTGGGTCTTTTCATCTTCAACGCCAAACCAAACAAAGCATACAACTACCATAGATTCTTGCCACCAACAAACATGCATACAAATGATAACTTGATGGACATACCGAATACTTTACCTACAATATAATATACAGTAGTTCTACCTGGGTCTGTCTGAAAAAAAGGTACCTCCAACATTCATTGATTTATCCTCATTTTACCTACTAATGAAAATAACCAAAAGTTGAAATAGTTCTGCAATTTTGACACACATCCAAATATCATATCATTGGGAAACAATCTCCATTTATACTGGTTGGTGGTTTCAACCCCTCTGAAAAATATGAGTTTGTCAGTTGGGATTATTGTTCCAAATATATGGAAAAAATGTTCCAAACCACCTACCAGCATATCCCCATGATATCCACATTGGTTGGCTGAATCCCCATTAGCATACCCAACATACCCTGGTCTTTCCAGAGGTCTCCATTTATATCATGATCAACTTTCAAAAATCACCATGATTTTTTTCACAACGGGCGACGGCATGGCGGAGCCACGAGGGTCCAAGACCTGCTCAGGTACAACAGAGGTGTCATCAAACATGGCTAATCCCAAGTTTGAAATGGAGCTTTCAATGGGGAAATCCATGAAAATCCACTGTACATAGAGGTTTATAGCTGGGAAATCATCGAACTACCATCTGGTAATTTGTTACATAGCTATTGAAAATGGACCATTTATAGTGGATTTACCCACTGAAAATTGTGATTTTCCATAGTTACATTAGTTTACCAGAGGGTAAATGGTTGGACTTTCCATTGATGACCGGAGGACATGCCAAAAAAAACTTCCACGGTGGAAATGTTCACCTTCCGTCTGGGTTTAGGGTTTGTTCACTGCTGATGATGAGTGTAGCTTCACAAAATTGACACTGTGTTTGACATGGATTCGAAGTCCCAGATGCTCCATGGTGCTGGAATATTTACCTACATTTGGGTCATTTTGGTGGTAAATGTTGGTAAATATTCCAGCACCATGGAGCATCTGGGAGTGATACCAAAAACACTGGGGGATTTGACATAAATTCACTTAAGGATTGAACTCAACACATCAGAACATCGGTTTTGTATTTGATTCGGATGGGATTTGACAACGCCACGCTTCTGATATTGGGGATCAATATGCTTAGAACCTTTTCCCTGGGATATTTCCAGGATATCGGGGTTTTATACAACACAACAAACCTGGGCCACACAAACTTGTGAGACTTGAAGCATATTGAACCCCCTTCTAATTACTATAATGAATTATAGGCAATCTGAAACGGGCACGTAGCCATTGCCAAGTATTGCCACCAAGTGAGTGGCTTACTGCAACACCCTCTTCTGGAGTTCTTGGTGTATAGATGTGTATAGCAATCCCAAACAAGATGCCGAAAAGTGTGAAACCAGGATGGTGCTTTTAGATGATACTGTGGATGGAAGAAATCCCGCACCAGTTGGTATTAATGGTTTATCCCCGGAGAAAAAAGAACATGAAAATTACCATGTTTCATAGTTACCTAACCTAATTGGTGGTGTCAACCATTAAAAATATGAGAGTCAATTGGGATTATTCTTCCCAATATATGGAAAAATAAAATTCATGTTTGAAACCACCAACCAGTTATCTTTACCAACCAATATATGGGATGATGACATTCCCAACTGAAAAGTCATAAAATTCCATGGTTCCAAACCACCAACCAGTAATGTTCCCATCTTGTCATTTTTACCTAACGGTTGCTCACATTTCCAGGTGTCCGACTTCTGGGCATCGGCTTGGGCCTCGTCTTCAATCGCCACCAGGCCTGCCCCCTGCTCCGACCAGCCTTGACTGGCCAGGATGGGTAATGTTGGTTTAGAATTGGAGTCACCCCCCAAAAAAAGAATTCATCACATTTCATCACACTGGGTCTGATCTGACTTTTCTATCTTTTTGGGTCTGTTTGGGGATTGCCATAATACTTTATAGCTGTACTAGTTTTCCTTTTTTTCCGCAGCAGACCCCAACAACGTTCTGTAAAAGGCATTGCCATACATGGTGATTCAACCCGCAAAATGGTGGCATTAGACATAAGATCAGCCATTTTAAAGCGATATCGTGGGATATACTGCGATAACCTCCCTCAAAGGTGACTTCGATAAATCAATATAGAACGGTTATGAAATGGATGCGGCGTATTGCTGTAACCAGCAGCAACCATTTTTATAAGGGTGAATCTTAACCATCTATGATTGGGGGATTAGATGTTTCAAACCAACTTACCTATTTAGTTGAGGGGGCTCACTCTGCATGGGCTTCAGACAAGCTATTCTGTGAACATTTTGTCTGCCTCGGATTTTTAACACCGAAGCTGATTGAGAAAATTGGACATTAGTTTGTGACTGACAGGTCCCTTTGATTTGCTCACTCCCCGCAATCCAAGCAACTTCTCTTTTCAACACGCAAAAATGATGGTTAAATGTCAGGATATACCCCATGAATGGAGCCAAGTTTGGAGGTTTCCTAATATGGCTGGGGGTACCCCAATAGCTGACTGGTTTGGAATGGAAAATCTCTCAAAAATTGGAGGATTTGGAGCTACCCCCATGGCTTAGGAAACCGGTCACTGGATTCGCTGTGGCCCAAAGGGGCGCCGGACGCACGGTGACCTTCCGACCGTCGATCTCATAGCGTCCCGGAGCCAGCCGCCGGAGCCTTGGAATAACCAGGGGGTTGAAGATGTAGTGATTTTAAGATATATTTTAACGTCTAGTTACGCCAGTATGTGTGTAATCTATGTGGATACTATAGGTTATATATATATATATATGGATGGGATTATGAAGGTTTCTGATAAAGCGAATCTGAAACGAAGTTCTGGGATTGGTTTGTGGTCTGGCCACAGCTCCTTGAAAATTACCATTCAGTCGTTTTCTTGAAGCAAATGAATGATCCCTGGCGATGAAAAACGCAATGGCTAACTTCAGAGTACCAACTTTGAGTTGTCAGATGTTCTTCACTATCATTCTCTGGTAGTGCTGAACTTGGACCAGCATGAAACGCTCAAAAGATTAAATAGTCCCAAGCTTACAGGGGACCATAAAGGCCAACATCCCTTTACAAAAAAGGAAGGGCCTGTTGGAAATGTTGTTCCCCAAAGCCTGGGGCATCCTGGGATCCGTTCAAGGCAAATGCTTCTGCCAGCGCGCATTTTTTCCCTGCTTGATCCACTCACGGCCGTTCCCTTCACTCGGTGGGCAGCTCCCACTCGTCTTCATCGATGGCCTGTTGCAAGGCGCCGGGCTTCTGGCCATCCACCGTGCAGCCCACCGCGAAGCAGGTGCCCAGGATCTCTTTGGCCGTGCCCTTGAACTCCTTGGCCAAGCTCTTCTTCCTCATCTGCCGGCAGATGTCCAGGAACACCTCAGCTGAGTTGAAAAAGGAGCTAGGGCCCACTGGGCAGCAGTTCCCAAAGATATTCATATTCATATGCACATACACACCCCCAAACACGTGTATAACAATATATTTACACACATATATATATGTCTATCTATCTATCTATCTATCTATCTATCTATCTATCTATCTATCTATATATATATATATCAAACACGACGACATGAGTAGATTGTATTTTTTTAATAGTATTATATATCTCACCATCAGCAAAATACATGTAACATGTCAAACATCATCAAACATCCAGGCGCGTTCTTGGTGAGGTTGCCACTGTGTTTGATGTTCTTGGTCTTCTTCCTGTCACGCAATGGCTCCTTCAGCGCCTTGATGATGAGGCTGGTGGCGTTGGGCTCCACGTCCACCTGCGGCGATGTGGTCGGCTTCCATGACAAGCCGTTGATCCCTTCCCCCTACCCTCTGGTAAACTAACAAAAAACTGTGGAAAATGACCATTTTAAATGGGAAAATCCACTATTTCTATGGCCCATATGGCCATTTTCAACAGCTTTTTGTATGTTTACCAGAGGGTAATATTGAACACCCCCCAGAAACCATGGTGTAGTAGGGGATTTACACATAATCGAGACCATTTAGGATATTTAGGGGAGTTTAAAAAAATGTGGATGGGATTAATCCACAACCAACAAAGCATGACACGTATCAACTAAGGACAACAATACAATGAAATGATAACCCAAACAGGCAGCAGCATCTGCGCCAATGTGAAGGCCCACACCCAAACACACCTGGCCTTGGCTTGTCGGTTCTGGATGGTCAACTTCACAGTGACCCGGATGCCCTTCCACTGGCTGGTGCCCTTGACAATGTCCTCAGAAGCACCAAGCTGGATAGGGCTTCAGTTTGAAGGGAACCCCGGGGGAAAAGAAACACATGGAACCAAAACATATAATATCATACAATAGCTAGATTATCATAGGATATATTGAATCAAAACTCATCAAAATACGGGAGGCAAAGGACGTTTGGCCTTTGTTTCCGCTGAATAACTCTGATGAAAGGACGCGCGATACTTCAAGGCTGGCGCGAAAAAGAATGAGTGCCATCTCCCCAAGTTGCTGCAAAGTTCTTCTGCGTAATACAAAAGGCAGCCGTGCAGATGGGTACACACTACACCTATATATCAAAATCATTCAAAATCTGATATCACCAGGCGAATTCCCAAAGAGCCAAAATCAGAAAAAAACTGTCAAGGCAGGCAAGCATCATCACCCACCTTCTTGGGTGACATGCCCAAAGGGCCCACCTTCGGCGCCAGCACGGATGAAGGCGCCTGCTCACCACCATACTGTCTCAGAAAGACCACCTGCAGCGGTTCCATACTGTGCAGCTTGATACACAGCTGCAGGCTCTTGTGAACTAGTTAGTCACTGTATGTTTTTCGGCCAATGAATTTTCTGTGGGTAAATCCCTGTTCAGGCTTGGAACATCATGGGAATTTCCATGCAGGTTTTAGATTTTGATAGATTATGCACCATTGATTGCCCCCTTCCTCCCAAAGGGCCATGCTTCGGCCGACCTTCACCTCGTTGGGATCAAACTTGGGTGCCATCTTCGCGGTTCCGAAGCCCTGCAGCTGACAAGTGTGGCTGGGGTCTACTGGAAGTGCAATTTGAAGACATGTCGTATCTTTTTAGAGCATGTTAACATATGGATACCTGCACAACCGAAAAAGCACAAATAAATGCACATTTGAGAGATTTCTATAGATTTCTGCTTTTTGAGCAGTTTTTCTCCAAATGAGCGTAATTGCACCACTTTTGGCATTTCCGCAGTTTGTGCATTTTGAAACCAAAATTATGAGCGTAAATACCCGTCCGACAAGACACAAATGCGCGTTTTCTAACTCAAGAGAGCATCAAAAGTCAGAACGAGCGTATACCCAAGCAACAACTGCTATGAGCAGGAGAAAAAAAACAGTGCTAATTGAAGATCCAGGTATATGGTGTCCTTCCTGTCAAGACATCCTTAGAATCCCGTCAAATCGACGAAAACTAGCTGGAATTGCATTGCCTTTCCACGAGTTGACTGAGCCACTGCTCATTTGTCATCATGGCGAGGTATGAACTATCGAGATTCATGACCCTCGCAGGCTCTTAATTGTGTATGTTTGTAAATCTATAACATGTGTAAAAATATATCCTTGCTTACAATTACAATCTTATTATATATATATATAGAGAGAGAGAGAATTAAATATCATTCTATAATATGTGATATATAAGTATATATATATATATAGTTAACCAATGTCACCTAGTTATATATACGTATAGTTCAAACACATTATATATATATATGTAATTATATATATATAAGCTTCAAAACTCACCAGTCAGACCACCCCCATGGCCATCCCCAGGGCCATGTCAAAGCTGCCAGCCTGGAAAATGCCCTGTGGAATCTGCAGGTGCCCTGAAGCCGTTGAGCCAAGGCGGCCACGTAACGGCGAATCTTGGGGATTCCTGATGTGTTAGTTTCTGAAACGGTCATCCGGTTTTGAGAGGATACAACTGAATCAAGCTTGCCGCATACCAGTAAATAATTGTAAATTATATAAATATAAATATATAAAAATAATTAAATATATATAAATATTATATATATATGCACATGTGTGTGTGTGCGAATAGATGTTTAAAAACGGACGCATTTTTCATGCAATCAAGACGCTTAAATGTATACTATATTAATTGTTTTGTATTGTTTTGTGCTATAGAGTTGCGTATCCCCACAAGAATCACAAAACGGAACGTACATATTCATAAGGGATACAAATAACCATAGGAGATCTAATATGATACAATAAACAACAATAAACAGTCATCACTAGTCATCATATATAGTCGACAGTAGGGATGTACCCCGAGATACCCCGAGGGGGCCCAAACAGCAGAAATTCCGATTGCACAGGTTCCACTCTCGATCACAATGGACAGTCCAGACTCCCCAGGATCTCCCTAGACCTTCGACCTTGTACCCCTCACCAAGCACAGATTCCGCATTTTTTTCTGCGAATCTTCGACTCTTGAATTTGTCCAGATTCGGCTCACTCAGTGGGCAGCTCCCACTCGTCTTCATCGATGGCCTGTTGCAAGGCGCCGGGCTTCTGGCCATCCACCGTGCAGCCCACCGCGAAGCAGGTGCCCAGGATCTCTTTGGCGGTGCCCTTGAACTCCTTGGCCAAGCTCTTCTTCCTCATCTGCCGGCAGATGTCCAGGAACACCTCAGCTGAGCTTTCAAAGCCTTGAACCCGTGGCCCAATGAGAGGAAAAGATTCATCGGCTTAACATCATTCTACAGAATATGTGTCTATGAATCAACATGTGCCAGCATAAACCAGCGCATGTATATATATATATATATACCATCTGGTTATTTAACATAGCCATGGAAAATCACCATTTTTAATAGGTAAACCATCTATAAATGGGCCATTTTCCATGGCTATGTTAAATAACTAGAGGGTATATACAGTGTACAGTATACAATTATGGATGTATGAGGTCGTCTGACGGGGCTATCTCAAAATCATCTGGCTTATCGTATTCTCCCGGAAAAATGGCAGCATCGCTGGACAAACCCAGGTCCCCAATTGTTCCAAGTTGAATCCCAATTTGATAGTGAAGCACGTTGAAAATCGAAAGCACCAATTTTTTGATGTCAAACATCCAGGCACATTCTTGGTGAGGTTGCCACTGTGTTTGATGTTCTTGGTCTTCTTCCTGTCACGCAATGGCTCCTTCAGCGCCTTGATGATGAGGCTGGTGGCGTTGGGCTCCACGTCCACCTGCGGCGATGTGGTCGGCTTCCATGACAAGCCGTTGATCCCTTCCCCCTACCCTCTGGTAAACTAACAAAAAACTGTGGAAAATGACCATTTTAAATGGGAAAATCCACTATTTCTATGGCCCATATGGCCATTTTCAACAGCTTTTTGTATGTTTACCAGAAGGTAATATTGAACACCCCCCAGAAACCATGGTGTAGTAGGGGATTTACACATAATCGAGACCATTTAGGATATTTAGGGGAGTTTAAAAAAATGTGGATGGGATTAATCCACAACCAACAAAGCATGACACGTATCAACTAAGGACAACAATACAATGAAATGATAACCCAAACAGGCAGCAGCATCTGCGCCAATGTGAAGGCCCACACCCAAACACACCTGGCCTTGGCTTGTCGGTTCTGGATGGTCAACTTCACAGTGACCCGGATGCCCTTCCACTGGCTGGTGCCCTTGACAATGTCCTCAGAAGCACCAAGCTGGATAGGGCTTCAGTTTGAAGGGAACCCCGGGGGAAAAGAAACACATGGAACCAAAGCATATAATATCATACAATAGCTAGATTATCATAGGATATATTGAATCAAAACTCATCAAAATACGGGAGGCAAAGGACGTTTGGCCTTTGTTTCCGCTGAATAACTCTGATGAAAGGACGCGCGATACTTCAAGGCTGGCGCGAAAAAGAATGAGTGCCATCTCCCCAAGTTGCTGCAAAGTTCTTCTGCGTAATACAAAAGGCAGCCGTGCAGATGGGTACACACTACACCTATATATCAAAATCATTCAAAATCTGATATCACCAGGCGAATTCCCAAAGAGCCAAAATCAGAAAAAAACTGTCAAGGCAGGCAAGCATCATCACCCACCTTCTTGGGTGACATGCCCAAAGGGCCCACCTTCGGCGCCAGCACGGATGAAGGCGCCTGCTCACCACCATACTGTCTCAGAAAGACCACCTGCAGCGGTTCCATACTGTGCAGCTTGATACACAGCTGCAGGCTCTTGTGAACTAGTTAGTCACTGTATGTTTTTCGGCCAATGAATTTTCTGTGGGTAAATCCCTGTTCAGGCTTGGAACATCATGGGAATTTCCATGCAGGTTTTAGATTTTGATAGATTATGCACCATTGATTGCCCCCTTCCTCCCAAAGGGCCATGCTTCGGCCGACCTTCACCTCGTTGGGATCAAACTTGGGTGCCATCTTCGCGGTTCCGAAGCCCTGCAGCTGACAAGTGTGGCTGGGGTCTACTGGAAGTGCAATTTGAAGACATGTCGTATCTTTTTAGAGCATGTTAACATATGGATACCTGCACAACCGAAAAAGCACAAATAAATGCACATTTGAGAGATTTCTATAGATTTCTGCTTTTTGAGCAGTTTTTCTCCAAATGAGCGTAATTGCACCACTTTTGGCATTTCCGCAGTTTGTGCATTTTGAAACCAAAATTATGAGCGTAAATACCCGTCCGACAAGACACAAATGCGCGTTTTCTAACTCAAGAGAGCATCAAAAGTCAGAACGAGCGTATACCCAAGCAACAACTGCTATGAGCAGGAGAAAAAAAACAGTGCTAATTGAAGATCCAGGTATATGGTGTCCTTCCTGTCAAGACATCCTTAGAATCCCGTCAAATCGACGAAAACTAGCTGGAATTGCATTGCCTTTCCACGAGTTGACTGAGCCACTGCTCATTTGTCATCATGGCGAGGTATGAACTATCGAGATTCATGACCCTCGCAGGCTCTTAATTGTGTATGTTTGTAAATCTATAACATGTGTAAAAATATATCCTTGCTTACAATTACAATCTTATTATATATATATATATATAGAGAGAGAGAGAGAATTAAATATCATTCTATAATATGTGATATATAAGTATATATATATATATAGTTAACCAATGTCACCTAGTTATATATACGTATAGTTCAAACACATTATATATATATATATATGTAATTATATATATAAGCTTCAAAACTCACCAGTCAGACCACCCCCATGGCCATCCCCAGGGCCATGTCAAAGCTGCCAGCCTGGAAAATGCCCTGTGGAATCTGCAGGTGCCCTGAAGCCGTTGAGCCAAGGCGGCCACGTAACGGCGAATCTTGGGGATTCCTGATGTGTTAGTTTCTGAAACGGTCATCCGGTTTTGAGAGGATACAACTGAATCAAGCTTGCCGCATACCAGTAAATAATTGTAAATTATATAAATATAAATATATAAAAATAATTAAATATATATAAATATTATATATATATGCACATGTGTGTGTGTGCGAATAGATGTTTAAAAACGGACGCATTTTTCATGCAATCAAGACGCTTAAATGTATACTATATTAATTGTTTTGTATTGTTTTGTGCTATAGAGTTGCGTATCCCCACAAGAATCACAAAACGGAACGTACATATTCATAAGGGATACAAATAACCATAGGAGATCTAATATGATACAATAAACAACAATAAACAGTCATCACTAGTCATCATATATAGTCGACAGTAGGGATGTACCCCGAGATACCCCGAGGGGGCCCAAACAGCAGAAATTCCGATTGCACAGGTTCCACTCTCGATCACAATGGACAGTCCAGACTCCCCAGGATCTCCCTAGACCTTCGACCTTGTACCCCTCACCAAGCACAGATTCCGCATTTTTTTCTGCGAATCTTCGACTCTTGAATTTGTCCAGATTCGGCTCACTCAGTGGGCAGCTCCCACTCGTCTTCATCGATGGCCTGTTGCAAGGCGCCGGGCTTCTGGCCATCCACCGTGCAGCCCACCGCGAAGCAGGTGCCCAGGATCTCTTTGGCGGTGCCCTTGAACTCCTTGGCCAAGCTCTTCTTCCTCATCTGCCGGCAGATGTCCAGGAACACCTCAGCTGAGCTTTCAAAGCCTTGAACCCGTGGCCCAATGAGAGGAAAAGATTCATCGGCTTAACATCATTCTACAGAATATGTGTCTATGAATCAACATGTGCCAGCATAAACCAGCGCATGTATATATATATATATATACCATCTGGTTATTTAACATAGCCATGGAAAATCACCATTTTTAATAGGTAAACCATCTATAAATGGGCCATTTTCCATGGCTATGTTAAATAACTAGAGGGTATATACAGTGTACAGTATACAATTATGGATGTATGAGGTCGTCTGACGGGGCTATCTCAAAATCATCTGGCTTATCGTATTCTCCCGGAAAAATGGCAGCATCGCTGGACAAACCCAGGTCCCCAATTGTTCCAAGTTGAATCCCAATTTGATAGTGAAGCACGTTGAAAATCGAAAGCACCAATTTTTTGATGTCAAACATCCAGGCACATTCTTGGTGAGGTTGCCACTGTGTTTGATGTTCTTGGTCTTCTTCCTGTCACGCAATGGCTCCTTCAGCGCCTTGATGATGAGGCTGGTGGCGTTGGGCTCCACGTCCACCTGCGGCGATGTGGTCGGCTTCCATGACAAGCCGTTGATCCCTTCCCCCTACCCTCTGGTAAACTAACAAAAAACTGTGGAAAATGACCATTTTAAATGGGAAAATCCACTATTTCTATGGCCCATATGGCCATTTTCAACAGCTTTTTGTATGTTTACCAGAGGGTAATATTGAACACCCCCCAGAAACCATGGTGTAGTAGGGGATTTACACATAATCGATACCATTTAGGATATTTAGGGGAGTTTAAAAAAATGTGGATGGGATTAATCCACAACCAACAAAGCATGACACGTATCAACTAAGGACAACAATACAATGAAATGATAACCCAAACAGGCAGCAGCATCTGCGCCAATGTGAAGGCCCACACCCAAACACACCTGGCCTTGGCTTGTCGGTTCTGGATGGTCAACTTCACAGTGACCCGGATGCCCTTCCACTGGCTGGTGCCCTTGACAATATCCTCAGGAGCCAGCCAGGAATGCAGTGAGTGGCGAGGAGTCATCTCCGGGTTGGCTCAACAACATTGAAAAGCCCTGAAACCATGCCTTGCTATACCACATCCTGCAACCCGTGTCATGGGCGTGACATGAATTGTAACAATTGTAAAGCGCTGCCTCTTACAGGGCTTTTTACGCGGCTTCTTGGGCAAGCGTCATCACCCACCTTCTTGGGTGACATGCCCAAAGGGCCCACCTTCGGCGCCAGCACGGATGAAGGTGCCTGCTCACCACCATACTGTCTCAGAAACACCACCTGGCAAATTGAGAGGTCGGCAAGTGGTTGGGCTCGGTCGGGCTGAACAGTGATCAATTTGAATAGTCATCCCAAGTGGTAGTACAAACTCACAAATAGGTGCCTGAAACATCCTCAAACCATCAACGAATAGCCGGTTTCAAAATCAGTTGGATGCATATTGAACGCTCTTCCAACCCCCCTTCTCCCAGTTCCATGTTAAGCTAATTCTAGTCTTCAAAAAGGGTAGCTGGGGTAGCTGATCATCCCTTTAAAAAATACATGGTCGACCAGCTGGTGAGGCACCTTCACCTCATTGGGGTCAAATTTGGGCGCCATCTTTGCGAACTGAAGCGCTGCTCCACCTGCAGGTTTCAGGCCGTGTTTTTCAAAATGGCAGGATTAATGCAATGCTTCATCCTGGAAAGTGCGTTTGAAGAACTAAACGCGGATATGTGCTCAAATATGCATAAATATCAACGTGTGTGTGTGTGTATGTGTGAAGATATGCAAATGCATGCGCGCAGAAAACAGGGAAGCCATGGCCCATATTGAGTTCAATGATTTACCTCTTAAACTTGGTGAGTTCCGTTATGTTGGTTTATATATATATTATATATATATAATCAATTATAGCTGGTTGGTGGTTTCAACCCCTCTGAAAAACATGAGTTCGTCAGTTGGGATGATGAAATTCCCAATATATGGAAAAATAAAAAATGTTCCAAACCACCACCCAGCATATCCCCATGATATCCACATTGGTTGGCTGAATCCCCATTAACATACCATGGTCTTTCCAGAGGTCTCCTAAGTCATGGCGCGCCCCAATCCAGTCGTCATGGGGATCCTCTAAGAACAAACCCATATCCCAACTTATACAGAGGTTTTTGAATCCCACAGAGTTATTATCCATTGTCTTCCTGTTATAGAAGCATTATACCAGAGAGTAACACTGATCAAACCCTAGTGCAGCCACTGATATCGATTTTTGCGAAGAACCAAGCCTCCCAGTCCTCGTCACATCCATGGGACGGTCAAGCCAAGTAATTACCCCGTCAAAATTGGTATATTCTGAGGGTAACTAGAACAAGTGGGAGATTTTTTGCCAGTGCTTCTCAGAGGATTTGCCCCACCACAATTGGGATAATTATCAGTATATAAATCCCATAGGATCCATGTATGCTATATATGGTAACATTTACCATCAATATACCCCAAATGTTAGCATATATACCATACATGGATCCTATGGGAATATACCAAGAGGTACTGGATACGAACACCTCTTGACGTTACATCCATCTGCATCCGGCTGCCCTTTTTCAGCGGCCAAGTAGCTGGTGTTCTCCGCAGCAGTGACCCTCCGAAGTTTCGAGCCACAATGCGCAACATTTGATGAACATTTTGCACGTATGACTCCAATTTTTTTTCAGCCTTTACCAGGCAGTAAACGCCGTGAAAAACCATGAAAAACCCATCAGATCAGAGGCTGCGGGTTGCGAAGCGCGCCCGAGTGGTGCTTCAAATATTCAGCTCCTCGAACTGGGATCCGTGGGACCCTTGGGACCCCTAGATTCCAGGCATGACATGTTGGGTGCAACCTTCAAGCTTTACCATCAAGTCAGCAAGAAACCCCTCAAATCTCACCACTACATATATATAAGTATATAAGTATATATATATAAGTATATAAGTGAATTAATAGCAGATAGAACATTCAAAATTGAATACTAAAGGTTAAAATCCAACAGATACAAGATACACGGAGCAGGTAAATCAACATGTCGTCAACAAGTCGTACCTATATAGAGTACTTCAAGTAGGTGTGTATGTGTATATATATATATATCAACAACGCATAATAATGCCTATGTAAAGTGATCCCACTGAGGGAACAAACAGATGTCATGAATATTTAGCCAACCTACATAAGGTGAGGTTGACAAAGTAGCAAAGATAGCATCAAAAGGATGGGACTCACTCAACCATACAGCAAAACTGTGCATATATATATATACACATAAGTTGATATAGATACACATGTATATGTGTGTGTGTATATTTTTCCATCCAACAATGCCATGGCCCATAGTATGGCCCCACTAGCCACATCGGTCGCCAAGACGCATGAGCTTGGAGGCTGCTGCCGCGTCCAGTGAGCGCAGGGCGTTACCAAGCATCTGATCCTGGAACTTGATAGAAACCCAATGGGATAGTAACATTTGATACATACTGTGGATGGTTGCGAAATCCGAATCGCCAGTTGAAAACGGTGGTAAACATCCCATTAGTTCTAAGGTTTCAATTATCCAAGGTTGTGCAGGATTTCTTCCATCCACCGTAGGTATCAGGATACTAAAATTATGGAGTTACTATCATGAGGTATCCATTGGAGTTTCTTCCAAACATTGATATTTTTGGATGAATTGTTCGGCTTCGATAAGCTCCAGGGGACATTATGGCTCACGGAACGCCACAAACTGTGGTAAGAACCGATGCCAATCAAGTGAAAGAATTTTGGATGAATATGTATACAAATATAATGCAGATTGCAAACGCAGTGCAGGATGCAACTACCCATACCTTTGGGTGTCCTCTGAAAAACATGAATGTCCATCTAAATGGCTGGGTTGGATTGCCCAATCACAATTCCCCATGATCGTTTCTCAATCACCATTTCCATGGCTTTAACTCCATCTTTATAGTCAAAAACAGTGTTCTATTTTGGTCTAAGCCAACTTGGTCTTGGCAAAACTCACAATTTTACTTGGGCAAATCGCAAGTCAGTCTGGTCATACATAATCTGTAAACATGTATAATATATATATATATATATACATATGGGTACAGTATAATATTTCAGTAGCCTGAATTACGGCCATGAATGGGGATGATTTCCCACGATCTAACCATGATTGATTGCAGGCTTCGGGAGAACAGGCTTCGGTCGTGATCAAATTTACCCAAATATAGAATAAATCATATATATATATAGACATTACATACATAATATGATATATAAACATGGAAATATAATATTATATATATAATATTAAAATATATATTATATATATCATATTATATATCATATTATATATAATACTATATATATATACATTATATCAAATATCTCCCAATGTTGCTTGGACCAGCCCCAAGCTATCTCGGCGCCCATCAAATCACCAGGCGGCGATGGGATCCGCAAGATCCACCTGGCAGGTCTGGCCGTCCGACGCTAGCGATAACTGGTTGGTAGTTTCAACCAACCAATGGGAAAAGGACATCTATGCAAGGTGGTGCCCCCCCAGTTATAAGTTGGTTTATAATCCCCATTAACTATAGATATAAACCCCATAAACCCTAGTTATTGGACTTATAAACCAACTTAGCTAGCTATGGGGCACCACCTAGTGGTTGGTTAATAGTGGTTAATAATGGTTAATAATAGATAACTGGTTGGATCTGGTTGGTGGTTTTGGTGCTTTTTTCGCCAGCCCTCTGAAAAATCATGGAGTGAGTAACAGTTGGGATGATGACATTCCCATATATATATATTATGGAAAACTAAAAAATGTTCCAAACCACCAACCAAATAAGTATAGTCAGATGAGGGTAGATAGAAAGATAGATAAGGTATCTATAATTGTTTCTGTTTTTTCTGCGGCTGCGGATTTAAAAAAACTTATTGTATCTAGAATGGAGAATTATCTATATATAGAAATCATTTAATGTTTATCTAACCTACCTAATAAGAAATAATTTAATGTTATCTAAATATATTTATCTACCTTTCATAAAAAATCATGCTATATGTTTTTTCAAAGGTTGTTTAAAATCACCCTAAACCCAAATCTATGCCATCCTATCCTCCTCTCCATCCAAGTTGATGCCATCATCACGCCGGGGCTGCGATATAGGAAGCAGCTGGTGCTGGTGCGGTGTTGAAGCCTCCGCCTCCCATGACACCTGGGAAAAAATTGGGACTTTGGCACGAAAAAAAAGAGTGTGAAAACTACCCAAAAGTGATTCAAAATCCAATGGATTTTATAATGTTACAGTATATATATATATATATATACAGTAAGTTCTTTTTCTTTTGGATGATTTTGGATTTCACATGATTTCACCATATTTGACCATGTCTGACTTCCATATACCAGAATTTGACCTCATTTCTTGGCACAAAAATTGCAGTTGTGAAGTTGTGGACAAATTGCAGGAAGTTTCCCAGCATTTTTTGGGCGCCATGTCTGGGCAGCCCAGACATGGGTATTTTTTGCCCCAAATAGGGAGGGTACCAATACAGAGCATCTGGATGGCACAAATGGACAAGTTCACCCTTAGCGAAGCACATCTTTTTCTCAGGGTTCACCAGCGAACCACATCTTCCCAGGTGGTCAATACTCTTCCCACCGCCCCTCGATCCTCTTCGAAGCCTATGTCATTGGATTGGTTGAAGGGAAAAATTACAGGAAAACCCTATATTTGATGGGAAAAAACTATGGTTTCCTGGACGTTTTCCCGTCAACCAATCCAGTGACTATTGGATAAACCATGATAAACCTGTTGATTTGTGAGTATCTGATGCAGCTGCTCCGCACATGCTGGTTCTGCGTATCTTCTGCGTGATTCTGTGCCCAAAAGAGTCGCCAACATGCAAACCGTCTAAACCAACTATCTTCCTAACTACAGCATCTATCTATCTATCTATCTATCTAACTAACTATCTAACATCTAATTATCTAACATCTAATTATCTAACTATCTGACTATTTATCTAACTATCTGACTATCTATCTAACTATCTAATTATCGTTTTTCTCAAGATATCTCAGGCTTGGTGTTTGTTCAATTTTATTCATCCCTAGCACGGGTGGTGCGTCTGGGAGTCGGCAAAGTGTGCAGTCTGTGCCCAATAAAAATCATAGGCAAATAGGGGAACATCGCCAGATAGATTCTTATAGGATATCAAATGTATATAAATATTTAATCAATGGATAATCATCTATGAACATCGGTACAGAAATCATCTCCAAATGTATCCTGTTCCGTTGCCAGATTACAGTACTGGAGGGTATATCTGCACAATGCGTCTATTCCAGTTACAAACTACTGATGACTTGGCCATCAGCCCAAGGTGCTTTGAGATGCGCAGAAGGATGGATGGCTACTGGTCATGGAAGCGGATTGACCTGAGGCCGACAACTTCGCATGGCAGTCTGTAGCCCCGTCTTCACCGCCAAGATGCAAAGATTGAAGGAATGTGCGCCAGTAGTAGCCTCTCTCCTGAACAAGAAATGTCAGGGCACAGACAGAAGGACGGTGTTATTCATATAATATATATATATATACAATTGTTACAAGAGCAAGAGAAATAAGATTAAATAAGACAAAACTTGAACTCTTGAGGAGATGTCAAGAGTTGGAAAATGTTTTTGCTACCCCTTGGCACAAAGTGGATATCAGGTGGTGGCCGGGCATTTCGCATTTTCATCGCGCCTGAAGGATGAACGAGGATCTCCACCTGACTGTCAGGGGATATAGTTCATGAGCAAAAAAAAAACTGGCATGCCCAAACTATAATAAATACATATATATATATATATAATTATATATATATATATTATATTATATTGTTAAATTGTACTACTGTAATCTGTATATACATATATATGTGGTATCATGCATAATGACTACAGTACTATTTATGACGTATGTAAGCCAATCTTCCCAGAAGTACCTGTCGTTAGGCTAACCTTAGATATCATACAAATAGTTCAAACAATGCGGTCAACCCATTGATCCAGTGGTGACCATCCTCAAACCCCGGGGATGATGGCTGTGGCTCCGGACGGGCCCAGGCACCCCGAGGCACGCTGCCTGCATGGTGTTTTTTCACCATCCATGTGAAACATGAAGAAAAAAACCTGGTTTACAAGCCAATATGTAGGAAAAACATAGGAAACTCATATGTTTTTAGGTATCATTGTCACCATCCATCTCTACAAAGAAATATTTCAATCAAGGGAAATGCAAACATTCACGCCTCCATAGGTCACGCGGCCCTCTGAGGGCGAGCGTCCAGCCTTGGCATCGTGTCGTGCCATCCCCGGCTGCAAATGATCATTGCATGTTCATTGTTGTAAGCATGACTTCAATGCAGTAACAACAAATCCGTCTAGCAAACACACGCAGTGGTGGGCAGTCCACGTGGTTTTACAGAGATACCATCTGATAAAGAAAGAGTTTCATTGCCAAATTCAATGTCGACAGAGCAGCAGCATTAATAAAATGATTCCGAGAACCCGGTATCATACGCCAAGGACTGCCTCGCAAGGTATCTGGATGATACGTAATTTGAGACAAAAAACAACATTGTGTTGTCCATTTGCCAAAGATACATGATATCTATCACAATTTCATATGTAGGATGAACCTTGCCCAATATTTATGTCATAGTAATGAACATTCCGGGTGTAGCAGACAATAATGAATCACTTGGGATCACTTGGGATCCTGAAAAGCCTGAAATTTTCTGGGGGAAAGCGACCTTTACGAACGGTTTACGAACGGTCACAACGGTCACCTGACTGTTGCTGACTCCAAGATGCTCTGGAGATGTTACATGGGGAGGTCGTCGTCGTGCCGAAGCCTGCGGATCTTACATACATGGGAGACTGTCGATGTCTGTCTCAGACGTTGGGCATAGCATGTACCCTCTGGTAAACTAACATAGCTATTGAAAATTACCATTTATAGTGGATATTCCCATTAAAAATGGTGATTTTCAATAGCTATGTTAAATTACCAGAGGGTAAACTTCACTTGGTGGAAATTAATGGTTGAACACCATGTCAATGTGAGATACAGCGAATTATTGGTGTATAATCATGGTATACCCATCAGTAACTGGTGCTGAATATACCATGATATACCCATATAATGAGAACATTTACCCTCTGGTAATTTAACATAGCTATGGAAAATGGACCATTTATAGATGTTTTACCTATTAAAATGGTGATTGTCAATAGCTATGTTAATTTACCAGAGGGTATCGATTTTGGGTTTGACAAAGCCATGGTTTTGACGTGCACCCGATATCGCCCTGGGATGAATGTGGGCCAACATGTCAGGCCCAGGAGACTGTCATAGGAGCTGAATCCCTACGAATCCGTTTGCCCTCGTGGATGTTTGCAGCATCCCAAATTATCCCAACATTCTCTGCAAATCCACATAAAACAAAGCTACTACCTTCTGGAGAATTCTAAAATTCGTTCGTTCGCGAAATCGACGAACGAGATTTTTTGTTCTTAACCGCAAAGATTTCCCCCCAGTTGCCGACTCGGCGATTTCGGGGCAGCACCAGGTACACAAAATTCGCCCCAAGCGACTCGCCCCAAGCTATCCAGTTGGTCAGGCATTGTCATGCTCAAATTGTAGATGCACTCAAAAAATCTCCAAGAACATGGGTCATTAAATGTCCCCATTGAACATCACCCAACCATTAGGTATATGGTCTATAATGGCTACTTTTTTAGGTGATGTCCAATATTGCCAAAATGGGACATTTACCAATCCCTGAAGAACGTCCAGGAACCATGGTTTTAAATTAATCCAAACATCCAAACATATCCAACCTGGGGTGCCACCGCGGCCGCTCTGCCGTGGTGAGGGTGACCTGAAGCCTGGAAGTGCTGAGTTGAAGAGATCCAAAACCTGGAGATCATGTTTTGATGATATCTGATGCACTATGGACAATGTGTGGAGAACACGTAATTCCAAAACCGGATTCAAGCTGATGTGGACTGGCTCCTAAGTAAGCGCCATTCATGGTGTTGATTGTTGATGGGGGAATGTGTATGTTTACCTTTAAAAGGAAAACTGGTTGGTGGTTTCAACCGTTTTAACCAATAATGTTAATGTGTGTCAGTTGGTAAAAGCATCACATATATTTTTATTCATGTATCGATACATTTCATATTGTACACACGCCACATACACTACATATATATAATGTACATTGCACATCATCATTATACACATGAATTATCATTAAAAAAATAAACATATGTGGGCACAAACGTAAAATAAGATAAACACAAAGAACCAATACACACAAATGCAACTGTAAATAGACACACACATATATATACAGTATTATACAGTATATATATATATATATGCATGCATGTATTATGCATACATATATATTATAATTAGTAATTACCATGTGTATATATATATACATATCTATATATAAATATATGGAGAGAGAGAGAGAGAGAGAGAGAATTCAATCACCAGGCAGTTGATGTTTTCCATGTGAATCCCCCGCACTGATCGTGACTTGAATCCACCAGCCTTGCCGACTCGCAGGTGATGGCATCTCCTCTTGCCTCCTGGTCGTAATTGGAGATGGTTTAACCGTTGGTTTACCCTAGGGAAACCATTCGAAATGATGGTTTTATGGGACTGAATGGGGATATCGTTGGGAAATATGGGAATACAATGGTATTATATATATAGTATATATATATATAAATATTATATATATATATATATTATACGTATATATATATATATATAACATAGCTGGGACCCCCTAAAAAATTGGGTTTTAATGGGAACATCGTCTAGAAAGGGAGGATTTTCCATTGCTATGTTTAATTGCCAGAGGTAAATTGCAATGATTCAACAGCCTGGGTGTATCCGACTACAACTGTTATGGGCTCCCAACACCCCAAAATGGAACGGCCGGGAAAAATCCGGGGCACTGATTCACCTATAGGAACAACATGGAGCTGCCAATGCATGGGGCAATGGCATGGTTACATTCCACATATCTGGTTTAAATGTCAGTCATGCAGTCTGAAAGGTTCAGCCATATTTGCATCCCTTACTAGTACACTTGCATCCCTTACATTACCTTACTACACATCTAGTGACTTCGTGGCGATGGTGGCGTCGTTACAATTGGCAGCTGGTACACCTCCTCATGGGCGACTGAGCGTCAGGACGAATGCCTCCGGGAGCTTCACTGGCACAAGATGGCAACTTTTTGATGGGGAAAATGAGGTGAAGTAATTGAGAACATATTCAGACCAGTGGATCAAGTGGATTCAATTGGTGTTTTTCTTGAGTACCCCATTCTCGGACACATCCACAAAAAAAAACGGGCGCGGATGGGGCCGACATCTCAGATCCCAAGCACAATTCAAGAACCGTTTTTAGGCGATGATGAACCCTCCAAACACACTGAGAAATATGGCTTTGTCTTTGAATACCCCGTAAAACACACGTGGCTTGTCACCATTGTCCCCACATGTCCCTGCTCAACATGGCATGGTGCATCAATGTTTATCATGCTTTTGTGGGGGTAAACATGGGTAAACTATGTAAACTCCATTTTGCCCTGAGATGAACCGCATGTTTTTTGGGATTTGTTTGGATATCTTCCTCCATTTTCTAACGGGAGAAATCCATCAGTCCATCAGCTGAGCTTCGCGACCAAAGGCTCCAGGTACTCGGCCTTCGGAGGGTGATCTCCAACAGCACGACGCCGGAACCTTCGGCAGCTGCCCATATCAAGCCGTCAAAAGGACGTCAACGTGGATGGGGCGAAATCCTGCACCAGTTGACTGTTAGCTTTTCCCATGATTTATAGGGGTTCAACATGTTTCAACCATCCTTTTGGTGGTGCAGGATTTCGCTGGCCCATCCACAGTAGGAATGATCTTCCCAGATAAGGACGTCTAATGCCTTTGCCATGGATGGACAAAAACAACATCAACACTCCAAAGATCTTGAAGAACCCAATAATCAATGGATTGGTTTAAGGGAAAATCTACAGGAAAACCCCCATGATCTTAATAGGAAAATAACTCTGGTTTCCTGTAAATTTTCCCTTAAACCAATCCATTGATCCAAAGATTATAAGTGGATTATAACCCCAATTATAAGTGGATTAACCCTACTTATCCCATTTATAATGGGAAAATCCACTATTTCTATGGCCATTTTCCATTGCTATGTTAGTTTACCAAAGGGTATACTCAGCCACATCATCCTTCACAAGACATCTCCCTGGTTCTCCATCCCTGCCATGGAACGAAGGGCAAAGGCGTCGGCCTTGCTCCCACTCCTGGCTGATAGGTCATCTCGCATCATCTCACCATGGTTAGGGACTCCTTAACTTACAATTGATTATGTATATATATATATATATACACATATGTATTTATATATTATATGTATATATATATATATCAATGAGGGACACATTATTGATACATCAAACCCCCATCATTGGGGGAACGATCATTCCCTTTATCTAGTTTGATGGAAACATGGGCAGATACCCGACCAGCGCGGCCTGGTGCTGGGCTGAGGGCCCTACCAAGTACCTGACAGACAAAGGACCCCACCTTTCACCTTGAAAAACCAGTGGACTTTGCACTGAATTCGGGTTTCAAAAAATGGTACCCCCCATGGAACATATCCATGACATGTCATGACATAACAAGAGGCAACAATCTGGACTACAAAAGATACGATTGCCACCAAAAAAGTAACACAGTTGAGAAAGCCTTGGCACACAACTCTAAAAGCCTTGAACAAATCATTTTAGGAGTCAAATTCCAAACTCCAACTGCCACCAATATGGCGGGCACGCTGCACGCCAGTCTTAGTTGTTGCCCATTCCATTAAAAACCCACGTCTACTTTCAGCAGTTTTCAAGTCAAAGAAATCTATGATCTTTGTCTAGACTACAACTTCGATTGAAACACATCCATGGAAAAATCCCATGGAAAATCCCATGGAACATCCCATGGAACATCTCTGGAAAATTCTGGAAAAGCCATGGGAAATATCCCCTGAAACCTGAAACCATCTGAAACCAAGGTACAGGAGCGGTCGCTGGCGCTGTGGGTGCCAGATTGGCCTCCGGAGCTCAAAGATGTGCCCCATCTCACCGTGAAAAATTGAACAGGCCTTTGTTATGTTACCTGTGCATATTTAATATTGACATCTGTGATATTATGTATATTATATATATATACTATGTGTGTGCGTGTGTCTGTGTATAACTATATAATAATAATATGTATATATATATATATGTATAATATGTATTATATGTATTATATGTATTATATGTATTATATGTATTATATGTATTATATGTATTATATATGTATTATATATGTATTATATATGTATTATATATGTATTATATATGTATTATATATGTATTATATGTATATATTATAATGTATTATAATGTATTATATGTATTATATGTATTATATGAATGTATTATATGAATGTATATATATATATGGTAGAATAAGATCAATCCTTTCTCACTTGATTCTCCAAGTTCGCCTTAGTTTAATCGATTCGCAATTTGGGCCTTGATCTGCAACAAAACCGATATTCTCTCACAATCGCACATCTGAATTGAACATCTTAATGGTTAACCTGCCATTCGCTGTTTCTACCAGTTTTGACTAGTCTTACCAAGACCATTGGAATATTTGGAATCATTTCAGGCGATTTTTCTATATATATATATCCCCCAAAAGAAAAACAAAACCATCTTTACTATATATTTTCGTGTAATTTGTTGTTTCAACCCATCCCGGAATCCATTCCAGCATTGATCCAAACCACCAAAAGGTTCCGCGCCGTTGCAGAGATAGCTGCGTTGGCCATGGCTTGCGCAGGGCTCACTGGCTTGGACCTCAGTTTTGATCAACAAAAAAGGGATGGTTTACAGTGTACACAAAAATGATGCGGAAGATGGTTGCCTCAGAACAGCAAGAATTTTTCAGTGGAAAAAGGATGAGAAGCGAGTTTTTGTCCAAACTGAATGTTCGAACATGGTTGCACCAACCAAAGTTACGCTTTATATAAGATGGTTTTGGAGGTCATTGACACGAACGGGACGCCACCAGGATTTCAACCAGTTCGTGGTACATGGTTCAATTTGATCACTGCAGCCCAAACAGCCCAAGCAGTCAGTAAAAAGTGTCTCTAAATATTTTCTCAATATGGTTTCTCATCTCATCTTGGCTCAGCAGCCCCAAACTTACTGGTGCTTAGTGAATATAGTCAATGGATGTCAATGGGGGAATGACCCATAAATATCCATAAATCACATGATAACTGTATAAAACTGTATATAAGTATTGAATAGTATTAAGAATCATCCCATTCCCCCATTCCCTACTAGGCACCAGAAAGCCAAAAGAGAACCCAGGCTCCCCCACCAGGCATCCTGCAGGGGCGTATTGGAACCCCCTCTTGCAGCCATCAAAATCCGATGGCAAATTAGCGTCAGGTGTCATGCTCAACAATAATAATTGTCATGTTGGGGTATGCAACTTCTGCTGGGGAATCGTGATTTATTGAAATGTATCTATAATACAAGCAGAAATGAAATGAGTTTAGGGACATTACGACGTTTTATTGTGATGAGTGCCCCACATTGTGCCAATGATCAACTACAAAATCAATTCTTCGCCTGTGTTTTGCTCCCCACTCCCAACAACTCGACGTTGGTTGGCGGCACCCAACGGGCTCGCCTTAGGCGCCATAGGCGTTGAACTGCGCTGCAAAGGCATGGTTTGGGGCACTTGCCTGGGCCAAGGCATGCTGCTATGGCAACCCCCAGACAGATAGAGAAAGTAATGTACTACTAGTTATCTTAATAGGAGTCCACCTTTTCTATCTTTTTGGGATTGCAAAAAAAAATCGCACTTCGCTTTGCGCGCCAGGTTGGGGCTTCCATCCCTCCATCCCCGTTGCCGCCAAAGGAACGCTTGCGGTTGCACCATCAGCACCTGACCGCGCGGTTGGCGCGCCGCCAGCGCGCCAGGGCTGTTGGTCATGCTATGCCTTGGTGATGGCACGAACCTCGGCAAAAAAAGCACCGGAAGATGGGGAAGGAGAGGTTGTTCGCGTGGTTACTATATGGTAAATGGGCTATGGCCTGAGTGGCCTTTTCAGGGTCCTAACTTGGAGGTATCTACAAGACATAAGGTCTATGTAAGGGCTATGTAAGGGGATATGTATTCCCCAACATGCGGCTTTATATGCTACAGTACCTCCACTTTAGGTACCTGAAATGGCCATTGATCTGGTCAACCACCCCATAATGGGATTCCTTTCAATGGGCATGTAAATCCATGTAAATCCTATTGCTGGATTCGTACCATCCCCAATATGGTTTTACAATCCGTTGTTATCCATCTTTTGACCATGGTGCATGTGCTCCATGTGTGGTATACTTATCCCCATCACTGGGGCACCATGGAGCTTATGATGAATGGATCCTGAAGACATTTCATGTGAGGGGGGCTCTGTATTCCGTAGTTGTCGCCCATAGACAATGATTATACAGAAGACTGGGCAACCGTGGTGCTATCCATGGTAATTAACCACTGCATAAGTATCTCTCTCTCTACATATATATATATATATCTTCCGACAAGTTGGATCATTTTGGATTGGAGTTGAGCTGCGAAGCTCTCTGAGCCTCTTCTGATCGTAGCTACTTCAGCCAGAAGGCAAATCATCCCATTAACAAACACGCTCCCTCAAATCATGGTTTCGTAGGTGTGTATTGAATGTGTTCAGTTTGGTGTCCCGTATGGGTTTGTCTGAAAATAGGGCTACCCACCATTTTTGATGGTTAAAAAGCTAAATCATGTTAAATCATCATTTTAAAAAACTAAATCATCATAAATCATCCATTCCTATGGGCCATGTATAGCAAACATGTAAATAACCATGGTACATTTATTCAATCCAATGCTAATATAGTTACTTAACTGCTAGCAAAACCCCAATAAAGGTGAGATCTTCTGCCAAGGCGCTGTTGTGTTCCGGGCGGAAGCCTCAGAGCATTACCCAGTGGATCTTTGGGGGAACTGCTGTGGGAAAGCCATGGGTTTTCGTGGTTTTTCACCATTGATTAAGTATAAGGAACATCAAACTATGAAAAAAAACAACCACCTTTATAAACACGTTTTTTCACTAACCATTGATTTAGGGCCTTTAGGGAATCCTACTGAAACTCATCTCAAACATCCCTTTTCACTTAAACCAACTCCGGGATTTGTAGGAATGTTTTTTCTGACCTTTCTGGTTTGACCAGCCCCAAACTGTAACTGGACGCATGTGAATCCAGAAAAATTATAGCAAGCACGAACCCAAAATTATTATTCAGGGCTCTGGCAAACTTTTACATAACTATGGAAAATCACCATTTTTTATGGGTAAATCAACTATTCCTATGGCCATGTTCAATAGTTTTTTGTATGTTTACCAGAGGGCTACCCCTATAACTGGAACCGAAAACCCACCGACTCTCCGCGAAGCCACCGCCATGTCCAGCCACTGGGGGATTGTGACCTGACGGGCTCACAAGCCCCATGGAAATGCAGGGTTTCTCACAACGATGGGACAAAAAACCATGGGTTCTCTACTTCAAAAACAAGGCCTGATCTAATGGATCCTAGGGATCCACCATGATCCGCAAAAAAAATGTAGAACCATTGATTTGGATTCATTTGGGCCTATCCGAACCTTGCATGTCTTTCTTCATTTTGAGTATTGACTCCTCCCCGTACCATTGCCTTTGACAAATCGCTGCCGGCTGGGGCCTCAGCAACAAGGATGGCCAACTTCAACTTGAATTATCACATCGTCAGGAGCATCAAATGCCAATGGGATAGTCATGATAATAGCAATCAAAATCATAAATTCATGGCATTCCATTGTCAAACAATGATCACACTGATAGCAATCAAAGCGATACAAAAACAAGAACAAAAACAACAACAACAACAACAACAACAACAACAACAACAACAACAACAACAACAACAACAACAACAACAACAACAACAACAACAACAACAACAACAACAACAACAACAACAACAACAACATTGATACTGCAAATTGTAATAATCAGGATGCTTCAAACATGTTGCAACGTTCAGAAATAACATAACATTACATGGCATGGCATGACACCATCATCATCATCATCATCATCATAATCATCATGATGATCATCATCATCATCACCACATATATATATATATATATTCACAATACCCTCCGGTCAACTGACAGGTTGCTATGGAATTCGATGGCCCATTTTGTTGGATAATTTTACCCCTTTTGTTTATAGTGATTTGTCCATAGATATTATTTTACTATGTTAATTTCCCAGGGGACACCTCAAAAAGGTCATAAAAGGTCTATAATGGAACACCATTTCAGACCCTAGCGCTTTTGGGGGGCACCCCCATTCAAGACCCGTATATTATATCGTCACCGGAGGTTAGATCATCAGCACCGAAACTGAGCCGATAACGGCGGAGTCGGAAGCACTTTGGCCAGAATCTGTCGCTGGAAACCGCTTCAAAATACTGGGGGTTCCAAATGGCTCATCGATAAATGGGCAATTTTTTAAGGGATGTACCACCAAAAATGTGGTAACTATCGAAACGGTGCTCCAGTTCGTCTGTAATCAGCGGTTAACTATGGCTTATGGTGGGTAGTCCATAGTTTAGGTAGGTGTCTAAACCAACTTGTCACTGGGCGACCTTCTGGGAAAACATAGAAAGGAGCCAGTGCAGTGCCATTTGTTCCATTATTCCAATCACCTACCGAGTCTTGCAATGGTGGGGGGGTGCCCCTCTATGAACCAGCGGGAAAAGGACATCGATGACATCGATGACCTCCTTTTTTGGGCACTGCAATTCAAGCTGGAAGATATTTCATTGAAGTTGATCCAGTGACGCTATATAAGGCGGAAGTTGAAACATCCACAAGTGGAGCAGCTTCCAACATGATGAATTGGGGCTATTATTGCTTGATTGGTTTGTGTTGTGAGTTGTCCGTAGCAAGAAATGGTAATATAATTCCATACAAGTCCAAATAGGCAGCCATCATTTTTTTGGGTACTGCTTCGCCACTGCTTATTTCTCTCCTGCTTAATCATGTGCTGGCCTTGCCAGAGAGTGAGTATACTTCCACTTGGTGCCAACTTGTGAGGGCTATAACATTGCCAATCTTAGATACCCTGCAAAAAAATTAAATTCTTTGCTGGTTAGTAGATATTCCCATTGATACCCATCTAAGATTGACCTAGTAACCATGATTGCCCCAATCATGACCCCAGATGCACCCCTCAGTAGTTGTCACAGTTGAGTCCCCGCACTTCCCGGTTGTCACCTATCGCCATCGCTTCGGAACTGTCACACTTCCCAACTACTTGATCACGCTCTGGTTGGTGGTTTTAACCATGTTGAAAAATATGAAAGTCAATGGGAAGGATGATATCCCATATATTATGGAAAATAAAAAAATGTTCCAAACCACCAACCAGCACTTGATGATGGGTGGGTGACCTGATGATGTGCTCGAAATGAAGAGACATGAACATGATGACAAAACTGTCCCTGGACATTCGTCCGTATCTCGGAAGTTTTCAAACTAAGCTTCCTTTGATCACATATGCAAAACTATGTGCATGTGCATGCGGACAGAAAGATAGAATAATAGACTGATTAAATTAGTTTAGATTTGGATTTGATATGATTTGATTAAATTAATTTAGATTGGATTGGATTGGAACAGATTAGATTTAGATTAGATTTAGATTCGATTAGCTTAGAGTGGATTAGATTAGATTGGAATGGATTAGATTATATTCTAGAGATTAGACTTAGATATTTAGATTAGATTAGAACATATAGATAGATAAATTCGATAGATGGGAGTCCTTTCTCAATTGGCTCGGCATGAGGGAAAATCTACCGGTGTTGGCCCTATGTGTTGGTGTACAGCCCCATGTGAAAACCATTGTTTCCTGCAGATGTTCCGCTGGCGCCTACTTTGAGATGCGATGTCTCCTCCGCGCGAGACGCGCAAAGGCATCGCCCAATGATATCGGGATTGGTGGCATCACTGAAATTATAGGATACATTTAATTTATATTCATATGAAATGTTTACATGTGCAATTAAAATAACAAATAACACAATGATAAAACACGTGTAGTGTTTTCTGACAATGATTCGTCAAATGATAGAGGGATATAGTAGGGAAAAGTGTACTTATATGTGTTTTCTTAAACATAGCGTGATCTATACATGTATTTTTTTTTTTAATATAATGACATTGCTAAAGAGCATTAAAAACCCTTAAAAATTACTGTAAGACAGACATATCAGAAACGGATAGATATTGTCAGCTACCAGCAGCTACCTTCCAACACTCGCAGCTCCACTAAAAGTTTAAGTCCCCCTCAAGGGGTTCACCATGGTAAATAAGCAACTGACCAGAGAGGCGTCCTTTTAAAACGAAATCCACCAACATAATCCAACATACATATATGTATATATACACAGCAGACATAGCAGAACATGAAAAGTCAATTAAAAGGTCATGATTTCTGCAATCTACCCTAGGGAAAACAATGGTACCCTCTGGTAACTAACAGTTTGCTATGGAAAGATCCACCATTTTTAATGCGTAAATCCACTATAAATGGCCATTTTCAATAGCTGTGGTAGTTTACCAGAGGGTAAACCTACAGAAAGATGTGAAAAACCCATGGGTTTCCCATGACGACCTGAACGATGGCTGGCTGAGTGCTTGCTAGATCGAGGCCTGAGAGCGACACCGATGCAACAAGACGTGCCGGCGTTTTTCATTGTCCAAATGCCCAGGACGGAAGGACCGAGATTTTAGAAAAACAGGGCAAAATCTACCCTCTGGTTATTTAACAGTTCGCCATGGAAAATGACCCATAGAAATAGATGGTGGTTATGACTAACATAGCCATGGTATAGATGACCCATTTATAGATGGTTTACCTATTAAAAATGGTGATTTTCCATGGCTATGTTAGTCATAACCAGAGGGTATTTTTCGTAATGACCTCCATAAATTGGATAAGACTGATATGACATCCGACAACCATTGGGACTTAGCCAACAATTAGGGATCCTTGAATTTATGTTTCGAGCATGTTGAAATCATCCAAGGTTTCATTCAAACCACGGTTCCAAACATATCGTATACAAATATGAACATATATTATTATAATATATTATGTTATATTATATTAGATTATATTATATCATATTATGTTACATTATATCATGTTATATTAAATTATATTATATTACAATAAGTGATAATATATTATATTATATCTTATTATATTATATGATATTATTCAAATTAGTTTACATTGTATTAGAATATATATATATATCAAATAAAATTATATTAAATTATTACATATTAAACTATCTTATCTTATATTAATTATATTATATATATTGTCATATGTATATATATGCCTACATGTTTCTACATATTGACTCAATTTGTTGCATTGAATATTATTTAATGACCTTCTACTCTTCTTAGGTCCCTAAATACCACTGAAATTCATCGAAGGTGTGCATCTTCGCTGAGCTCTCTGGCTTTGTGAAACCGACTCCGCCACCTTGCTGCTGGCTGCGGGGGATGCTTGGGGGATCACCCGATCACCCCCATTAAGTGGCTTGGTTCACCTCAGTTTCCCGCCTTTCCTAACAGGTGACCCTCCAAAAAAAACGGCCTTGACATGTGAAACACTTCGGAATCAGCATGACCATCATCAATAGGGGCTTCACATGATTGGAGCCTCAGTTTATGTTACTGTACCAGTACCAGGCTACTGTGGATGGTTGCGAAATCCTGCACCACCAAAAGGATGGTTGAAACCCTTGAAATAATAGGGTAAACATGGATAAACCAACTATCAACTGGTGCAGGATTTCTTCCATCCACAGTATTCTGGGTCAATTATAATATTTCATTAACCTGAATTGTTGGGCCATTTGGGGATGATTTCCCTTATTAACCATGATTCCAGGGTTCGGGAGAACAGTGAAGTCGTTATAATTTACCCAGATATTTTGATGGTTTCTAGTAGTTTCTACCAACTCATGGAGATGTAATGTTAGTAAAGCAATAATAGGCCACCCATAGTATCATACTATACCCTCACTTTTTGCGATGGGAAGGTGCTCCTCTGAAGCCTGGCCAAGCCGCCCCGGCCTGACTGCGCTTCCGCAAGTCATTTTCCAGTTCCGCCAGCTGCTGGTGGAGAACCTTGGCCACGGTTTCTTTGCAAGTTTCGATGCAGGGGTGGGAAACCATAGAAAGATCATGAAATATCTAGAAATCATGTGTATATATATAATTATATATATATACATGTTTCTAACACGAACCTCAATGTGCAAATGATTGAAGGTTTATTTTTTGAAACATATCGAAAGTAGTCATTATTCATTCATCATTATTCATGAAAAACATGTAACCAATGGTATAGTTTGCGATTGAGTTAATTGAGTTTATGGATGTTTATGAAATAAAATACGACCACAAGAAAACACCAACCAACATACACCAAAATGGGGACACAGAGAATGCCTGGTGGATCACCAAGCTGATTGATGTTGATTGGGGATCATCAACCCGTTTTTTTGGGGGATCAAACAGCTGCGGGGTAATCGTTCCAACCAAGCCACAGCCTGGAAAAAGTAACGATAACAAGCCTTGAAGCAATAGGTTTTATTCTTGAGTCCACCACTCAACCCCTCTGAAATTCTAGCAGGGAACCCCCAAAAGAGGGTGTGCAAGATGAATTTCCGGATCTGGAAATGGCAATGTTGGAGGTCCGTGTCAGTTTTGGCAGGAGGCACCGGATAAGAACTCACCAGGTGTTTCTAGATCCCAGCTTGGCAATGTGGGCTTGTTGGTGGTGGATCAGTCTCTGCACCTTGCCTTCTCGAAGAGTTCAGCTAAGTTAAAGGTGAGGTGAGTATGTGTGTGTCTTTTTTTGGGGGGTGGACGGCTGAAATTTTGATCCCTACCTATATATTTCAGCTATGGATAGACATCTACAGAAGCAGGCTTGACACATCAACTCCGAAATGTGAGCCGATGCAGCAAGGCAGCAAGGCTAAACATCCGCCATGAAAAAAACAAGGGTTTCACGAATGTGTTTTGCTCTATAGCGTCAGGCTCCGGGTTGAAACAGGCTCCTTGGGAATCGCACATGAACCAGCTATATATAGATTGTAGCCACTGCCTTTTCAAGGTGGCGAAACATATGGCGATCCTGAGCTACTTGCTCTCTTTGGCCAAAGCCCGCCACAGGGGAAATCTTTCAAATGCCTGTTCATACATTATAAATATATACGTGATATGTATATTGTACAAGTACATGGTTGTTTTTTACACTTATATAACAATTGACGTATCTATGAATGCACGTCGATTTGTGAAAGTGTGGATGATCCGGCTGGTGATTATCTTCCCCAAACAACATACGGACAACGCTAAGAGCCTGCAAAATTTGGGAGGGTTTTGGCCATGCCCCCCTGCCCACAGGGTACTGGGGTCACAGAGTAGTTGAGCTTCTTGCACTATATAATTTGTTCTGTCAATGTTGGCTTTTGACAAACTCGCACGTGGTGATGATGCTGGAGCTTTATTGAAACACAGTCAAGTCAGCAATTCGTGTGACCTTCTCTTCACTCTTGGAAGGGAAGTCCACAAGTTGCAGATCTGAACTTATCCCATATGAATTCACCTGGCTCAACTTCCAACATCCTACCGGTCATTCTCATCTCTTCATCCGAGCATTCTCCGTGGAACAAGGAATAGAACTGCATGGCATACTCTGGCCGTGTGAAATTCACGATGCCATAGCCCATGTTGTAGCCGCACTCTTGGTTGGATGGGATGTAGAGGAGGTCGAACTGACCCTGGAAACCACGATCAACCATCTGAAACAACATCATCTCCTCTGGTGGTTTAAAGTTTGAACCTTCCAAAAAAAATGAGTCACTGAGGCTTGGAGCTCGTCATCCCAAACATCTCTCCTCGGTGCAGTAAGATGGTAGTCCCTTCACCTTCAGCGTCACCAAGGTTCCCGCCCATCCGTGACATCCTGACTCTGCAGGGCCAGGGCGCTGGCATAACGCAAATATTGCAGCAGGGACTCTTGTTGTAAGTCCTTGAGCTCCCGCAGTCTTTCCTGCATTGCCACCAGGTCTCCCGAAGGTGCCACCTCTGGGGGCGTTGAGCCACTTACGGCCGTGCACGTTGAGGGCGGCCCTGCGGAAGTTGGGGATGGGCACCTGCGAAGCTGCTGGAGCTTGGATCGCTGGATCGCTTGGATGTTGAGCATCGAAACAGCTGTCAAGCTAAGACTAGCTTTGGCAGCTTGAAGCCAAACAAGTGGCTAACAACAGAAGAGAATAGATGAAGATGGCACTATCAAGCCCCCGTGAGCCCTTTGTTTGGGCACAGCCAGTATCAACCGGCGACTATCCCACTCTTTTCCTTCTTTCCATTAGAGACCTTTCCGAACGGTAGAGAATATCGCGCACAGTTTCGCGATTGAGTTCCATGCGACCCTAAAAAACATCCACAAAATCCTAAACGTTTCCCCTACCAAGAGGTCGAAGATGGTCAAAGCATAAGGAACAACCATTCATGATATCTCTAATGCAGCATCAGTTGACATGGCAAAACCAGTTCTCATAGGGCGCAGGCGCTGAGTGCTGTGTCCAACGTCCCCGTCGACTTGGCATCTGCAGCATTGCGGGATAGCCGGGATAGCCGGGATAGCCGGGGTACAGGATGAAAGATGCAGGGGACCACACCTTTACTCATCCATTATTTAGCTGTAGTTATAAGCCAGTTACTTACCATTTAGCAAATCCCAGGTCCCACCCATCTAGCCTGGGTTTTTTCTGTGCCTGCTTCCATCCACTTTTTTTTGGGGGGGGTGAGATTTCGAACCTCTTGGCAACTAGACCATACTAGACCCCCCTCGAAAATATCATGGTATTTCAAGAGGTGACAGGGCGCGCCCAGCCTTTCTTTGTTGCAATTGGCGCCTCAAAGCCGATCCGACAATCCGACATGGATTGATCATGGACCGATGGACAAATTGCAATATCGTCCCCCAAAAAAAGATCCAACAAATTGAAAAGTAGTTCATCACTATATGTGCTGAAACTTGCAGCATTGCCATTGTGTTTCAATATTCTCGAAAACCTTGCTTTCGGGAACCCTAGACGCACACACACGTGGCAGATGTGTCACACTTCATTTGAGTGCCCTGCCAATCCGTCAACCAAAACATGTTGAAACCAAATGTAAACATGTTCACAATAATGTGGCAAAGCCAATAATAAACCATCCCCCAGTCATCACCATAGATGGGTTGTATTAATGGTTGTATATGTTGTAAACCATCCCCAAATGGTACCCTCTGGTAATTTAACATAGCTATGGGAAATCACCACGTTTAATGAGTTTAATGGGAAAATTCACTATATTTTTTTTGTTGGCTTTAGCTCATCCACCTGCAGACTGAGCCGAAGACATCTGTGAACTCCAACTCGAGCTCGCCTAACAAATCTGTCAGCACCTGCCCGATGCCATGGGATGCCACGGGATGCCACGGGCCACGGGGCCACACAGAAAACTGCTGTCCAATTCTGGAAAAAGTGCTTGGTGGTATACCATGGTATACCTACCCCTCTGAAAAATATGAGTTCGTCACTTGGGGTTATTATTCCCAATATTTTTTTTGGCTCGGGCTCACAGATGCGTTACTCGACGCAGCGGCCTGCACATAAATTCTGTGCTGCCGGTTCTACCATGCAGCAGCCGCTGACCAAATCACAAGAGAAGGCTCAGCAGATGAAACAAGTCCGCAATCGATGAAATAAAACAAATGAGAAAGGATCAGCAAATGAAACCAGAAAAGGATGAAGTCAGCCGGCATAGTCCGGCCCGATGTGTTCTCCATATTCTGCACACATCATGGAGGCACAACGGTCAGAGAAGCTAGTCGGAACAGTGACAGATGGGTCACTGGCACACTGTCCTATAGCTACAAAGAGTCCCTCCGCCAACCCCCCGTTCAAGGATGGCGGGTACTCCTTCAAAACTGAGGTGGACCAGCCTCCAGCATGGTCCCTTCCGATCGAGATACCCTTTGGTAGCTCTCGGGTAATCTGCCACTTGCGCAGCGTTTGTCTCATGTCAGGCGCATTGACAAGCAAAAAAGAAGTTGGTTTGGGGGATTTCGCGCCCCAAAGGCCCTGTGCTAAAGAAACAAGGTCAATGCCTGGCAGAGACAAAAGCAACGTCAAAATTGGTGTCCGCCAAATGGAAACAGATTCCTCAGAGGCCGGCGCTGCCGGGTGCTCAAGCGCTGCCACACCACCAACGCAATAGAGCATGACGACCGCCTCCAAGATGAATCCCATGAGGTCGTTGCCCACACGAATCTGCCTCAATTCCTTCAAACGGAGTGATGGAAGTCCCCACGGAGTCTCCGGAACCCGCAAAACTCTCGGTGCGAAGGCATGCTCTGCGACAGAGCGTTCCCTGGCCTGCGACCAGGTCTCGCACGGAGGACCGCCGATGATAGCAACCACCCATCGAGCTTGAATTGCGGCTAGCCAGAAATCTCTGGTATCCTGTCGGGATATGTCGCCCCACTTGGAGTCAATGACCACGTCGAGTGATATGACAATGAGTTGGACATCTGGATGGTGCGCTGCTAGGCGATCAAAATAAAATTGAAAGTCTCCGCAGCGTCGTCTGCCTGAAAACGCGTGCAACACGTAGCGGACTGCTCCAAAGCCTCGTGGAACTCGTGCATGTCCCTGACGTGGATGCTCCGTCTGCGCCTCCTGAAGGCAGAAATCCTCCAAAACATTCAGGTCTCGATGCCAGTGCTCCGTCACGACTTCCGTCTCTTCGCAAAGGAAAGGCCACTGCACTTCAAAACTGAATTTTCGCAAAATGCCAAAGAAGTCCTCAGCACTGATACCCAGGACGGCCGTATCTTCGGAAGTTGCCTCCCGCACTAAAGCTTGCAGCGTCAGGCGGAAGTCTTCCCAAGTGGTGGGAATTTCTGAGGCAACTGCTCTCAATGCAGTCTCACCCTCTGCAACTGAGGTGACATCAAGCATCCGCATGTAGATCTCTTCAAAGATGACCAAATTATAGTCCAGGGCCACTCCATGTCGCCCTTGAGGCAAATGAGGTCCGTGGCCAGGTAGAGGAGGAAGAAGTCCATCCAGGATTCGCTCTTGGTGGTCATTTGCATTGGATCCAATGCCAGCCACAGGAGCAACATAGTGATTGCGTCTTTGAAGGCTATGTCGGCAGTAGTCTGCGCGAATGAGATGAGCTTTCAGCCTGCCATAGCTGTGAAATTCACGAAGGCAACATCCACACTGTGTCGTGTCAAATAGTCGGCGGACTGGATGGATGTGTCCATGAACTCGAAACATGTGTGCTCCGCACCCACCTCGAGATGCAAACTTTCGTTGACATTGCATACAGCCATAGGCTGGCCCGGTCAATGTCCGCACCTCTGACGGTGGTCCTTGCGTAAGACACTGTGCTTGATGAAGCTGTTGCAAAATGGCTCTGTGAAATTGAGTCACAGACGAAAGGTTGTCTCGTTGTGCTGCTGCATGATCTCCAGCTCGACGTACTAACTTCTTCCAGTATCGCCGGTGGTCTTTCATGAGACTGACCCACGCACCAAAATGATGATGCGGATCCGGAAGCTTGGCTGAGGAGCGAAGTTGATGCCACATCCACTCAATGTCGCTCCTCACCAGCTGCGTCCATTCCGTGTCTGCATTGAGAAGCCCCCAAGGTACTGAATCAGAACAGGAGTAGAGAGCACCTAAATGTCGCAACCGTTGCTGTCGGAAAAGATCAGAGGGATCTGAGAGGCCAGTCAGTTGCAAAACTTCTTCATCGCTATATAGTTTGATATATGCCTGAGGAAGGAGACGTCGATAAAGCTTCATTAAGGAGGTGTGCACATAGTGTCTGGTGTGCTTTTCCATGAGCGTCCAAGAGTCGCATCCGTACACAAACTTACTCAAGATGAGGGTACGGAATAGTTCAGCTCGCCGCTGAAGAGTCAGCTGTTTGTTCTGGTAGAGGACTTTCCTGTGTTGTTGAAAGGCTCCTTGGGCGATGCTGAATCGGCGGCGTGCTTCTTGTCGCATGTCCCCCCGATGGTGCAGGAGGCTTCCCAAGTGCACATAGGAGGCAACAACCTGCACTCGTTGCACTCCTCCTTCAAGTAGTACTGGAAGACTGGAATCCGATTGAGGGCCAAAGAATTTCTTCCTCGCAGCTGCCGCACCGTGGCCTTGAAAAATCAGGAGCACCGCTGTCTTCCCTGGCTGGAGATTGGGCGTCATAGCATAGGATTGGCAGCGTTGAATGAGCAGACCGCACAGATTGGCTGCCTTTCTCTCAAGCGTCCAAGGGTCAGCGGCTGCAAAGCAAAAGCAGGAGTCGTCCATCCAAGTTGGTCCGAGATAATCATCGCGGCCAGGCAACTCCGAGTCTTCTGGATCTGCAGCAATTCCATCACATCTGAAACCTCCATGCTGAGGGATGGAGTCCAAAATGTCAAGAGGCTTGAGTTCTGCCTCCAACTCATGTAGCAGACGGGCCCATAGAAAGCTGAAGATGAAGTCCGCCCAGCAATCTCCGGGCCTAGTGCCAAGTCGTGTGCGGCAATGATCAAGTTGACCTGGAAGATGAAAATGAGTGTCTGAGTGGATAGCTTGCACTACCATCTGAAGGTGCTTGGGCATACCAGCTCTTTCAATGGCGGAGGCTTTGTCCAGATGTTGATACAACTCCCTCATGGTGTCTGGTCCCAATTGGAGTCGTTGACACATCCTTGCGATGGTCTCATCACTTGTGATGCCTCCCATTGCCATCTCTCGGACGATGCGATAAAACGCTTCGCACAGGTCGAGGAACACCATGCCCACATTGAGCCCTTGCTGCTTGCGAGACCTGAGATACGCTCTCGCCTGATGGACGCCTAACGTCACAGGAATTTTGCGCTTGCCTCCGAGTTGTTGTTTTTGGAGGAACTGCTCGAAGATGTCTGCAGTATGCGCTCGCAAGCACCGATGTATCGACTTGCCGATGTGAGACGATATCAGGATGCTGCGAAAAGATCCGCAAAGATCTTTGGCGCCTTTTTGTTTCCATAGGGGGTACAAGCGACCACCCTTGTGCAGTAAGCACTCATGCCCATGCAAGAACGTCTTAAGCAGGATGGCGTAGGTCTTTTTGGCAATGGCAGCTGGCGCTAGGTGGCAAAGTCTGGCATCGACTTGATCAGGCCCAGTGGCCTTGGCAACTTGTACTCTGCGATAAGCTGCTTCAAGCTCAGTGAGACTTGGAAGGTCACTGAGATGCAGGTTGATCTCTGTAGCGCAGAAGCGCTTCAAGTTGTCAAGCCATTCGGTGCGCTGCTGATGGTCATCAAGTCGATCCCCACCCTCCATAGTCTGGAAAAAGGATATCCAGGTGTCCAGGGCTTCAGCTGGGCTCTGACATACTTGTCCATGATGATTCCTCACATACGGCAGGGTCTTAGCCTTGACCTTCTTGAGATTGGTTGGTCCGATGAGGTTTTTGACTTCGTGCAAAATATTCGCTGCAGGTGTGGTAGCAGTCATGCCACTCAAAACATCTTTGAGCTGCCCATATTTGGCTTGCCGAAGTCTCCCACGCAATTGGTTGGCAATGCAGTGAAATTGGCAGTATGCTCGGACATGGCTGCACAGCAGCCATGTATCATATTGCCAGAAGAAGCCACCATCGACTGTGACAGCAGGTCGAGATCGAAGGGCAGAGAAGCAAACCAGTAGCATTTCATGTTTCTGGCGCCTGGAAATGTCCTTGAGCGCTTTCTTGGTGGCTAACTTGGTTGCCCGCAACTGCCACAGTTCTGCTGTGAAGATGGGTTTCTTCGGGGCTCGCTGTGGTTGTGGACAATGCGTTGCAACTCCATGGAGAAGGTGATGATTGAACTCATCAACATGGGATTCAATATCCTGCATCCATGGAGCCGTTGGAGACTCTGCAATCGCTAACTGAACATGTTGACTGCTCAATCCATGGATGTCATATGTTGGTGACGGCTTCTGCCCTGGAGCGTTGTGGAGGGTCTCACATTGCTCATACCACTGTAACTGGATGGCTGTCGCGCTATGGTCCCAGCAACCATTGCCCAGGTCCAGATCTTGCAACACGCAGCTGTATGTGCACTCATGTCTGTGGCATTGCTGTACGGCAACATGATCCAGGCAATGAAGATGTGCTCCATTCGGGCTCACCCAAGTCGCATGTGGTCCCCTATGGCAGTCACTTGTCGCAGGGAGGCAGAGATCATGTTTTGTCAAAAAATCTTGTAGCAAAGGGGTGTTCTCATTCGACAGAAAACCATCTTGAAAGACCACACAATCATCACGTGGCCCTGGGTCCGCATTGGCATCCATCAAAACGAGCAAACGTTCAGAATCATGTCGGAGTTGTGCATGATGAGAAAATGTGTGCCACCACTGCTCACGCTCTGCGATCGAATGACCGCAATGTGGGGCATGTCCAACAAGAATCTTGAGCTTCATGTAGGGTGTTTCAATCTGGACTGCAAGCATTCTGGGATCACGATGAAGAACTTGAAAGTCCATGGGCTTCAAGTAATGTGCCCGCTTTCCAATCCATACGTAAGGGATCTTGAGGTTTGCCCATAGTTCCGTGCCAAAGTGGCCTTTTGCAGAACCTGAACCAAGCCGTAGGACCCCATCAACTTGTCCAAATGTCTCTGGAGCGCGTGTCTCTTGCAGACCAAGGAAATTCAAGTTGTGGGAGATGAACTGTTGCCGCAGATAATCCGTCTTCCCAGCATGACGCCATGGTCCATTGTAGAGTGAGGTGACATTGGCAGTGCCAGCACTCACATGAAAGTTGCCTGTGCTGGTAGAGGAGCTGACCCACCTTGTCCATCTCTGAGGAATCGACACTGGTGGCAACTGCGGAATGGGTGCATGAAGCCCGTTTGCGCACAGTGAAGGTAGCCCATCTGTCTGACTAAACAAGGTCCACATGTGCGGGATGATGGGGAGCCATTGCCTGAGAGCCAGACGTTGTCGTGGGTGATAAAAACTCTTCTCTCGCTCAGTGCGTGCAAGCCAATCTGCCATCTCATTAAATGGTTCACCTGTGTGGCTGTGGATGTGCTCTACTGCCAAAGCTCCAGGTGGAAGAGCTGCTTCAAGAGCTTGAAATAAGCCGCGAAATGTGTTGAAAGAAAGAGTTCTCTCCGAGCATCCCATAAGCCCTAGGGCTTGCCTGGCAGAAGTGAGTGAGTCACTGCGAAATAGAGTGTCCACTCTGGAATTCTGGGCGAGTCTCCACATGGCAGCCCAGGCTAAGGCTTCCCTCTCGGCGAGGTACGATCCAATGCCATCAGCACCGATGAAATGCTCGCTTTGATGATCGTAGATCACAGGCTGTGTGGTCCAGCCTAGCACTTCGACCTTGTGCTCGTCAGTCGTCAGGGTCTCACCCACCACAACGAAAGCCCAGGAATCTCCATAGCCTTGCTCATCATTCCAGAGTGGCGGTCTGTGCCTGTCCTTCGCTTTGGAAGATCCATCTGTGTACACAATGATGCGATCATAGTCATCCAGACATGTGGATGTACTCATCTTGAGAGCTGCTCTGGTCACATCTGGGAAGTCATGACCAGTTGGATCTCGGCACAGGATGTTCTCAGCAGACGTGAACAACTTCATGAAGTCATGGAACGCAAAGCCTAAGCCAATGACACAGTCATCTCCAGCTACCTCAGTCGGTGGAAAGAAATAAGGCCCTCGTGCTCCAATCAGCTGTGTAGTGTCCGGCCATGCTGGTTGGGACCGGCTGCAAATGGTGTGTGGTGCCTGGAGCACTTGCACATTCAGGAACTGAACACGAGAAAGCCCCGGCGCGAGAACTTCTACTGATTGAATGGATGCTCGCCAATATCCACAGTCATACAAGAGGCTCATCAGCTCCACTTCCGTCATCTCTTTCGCTTGTGAATGAAGGAATGGTCCATCTGGATCAGTTGTGTCAGTGTGGCAAAGCATATAGTGTCTAATGCCTGCTTCTGCACACCACCCTCTCGGAAAACAGAGAGCTGCATCATGGGCACCAAATCGATAAACATCACATTGATGCCCCCAATGGCACAACTCAGTGACAACATCCTTTTCGCACCATGGAGACGGGCACTCAATGTAGGTGGGCAAAGGACCCATCTCTGCTCCTTTGATGAGGCGGATGGCTGCATGTGCGGGTTCTGCCGCTTGATGGTCAATCTCCTCCTCGTCAATGGGCAATAGAGTGGCCAATGTGAGTTGGACTGGTTGACGCACTGCTCGAATCTGCATCAAAGATACATGATTGGCCGGAGCGTCTTCTGAGGCTGTGGAGGAATGGGAGTGGACTTCATCAAGATGCCTCGCCATGACAGTGAGCGCATTGCCATTACGAAGATGTGCAATGTCCTCCTGTGTGATGATGTCATTGCCCCACCAGATCTCATGCTGGATCTGATGCGGGAGTCCCAGCTGCTCCTCCCATCCTGCCGCCCGTAGAATGCTGCCCTGTGTAACAGGATGCTCGAGGGCGTCAACAAATTGTAAGGGCGGAGAGGTGGATCTCTCTGTGTCTGAAGCCGTAAAATGAAGGCTTCGTCTGTTTGGCCGTGGTCGTTGAAACAGCAGCACATGTGGAGCTGGATGCTCTTCCAAAAAAGTTGTCTGTGGCTGAGGCTGGATCATATGAAGATGGAAGACCTCATCTGGATCTGCTCTGTCATCCCAAGCTTCAATGAGTCGAGTCATCCATTGAGACAAATCGCTGGGGAGTTGAACCGCACGCGCGTCTGGGCAACGCGGCCAGCGCTCTGTGTCCGCATACCAGGCCATGACTTGTAGATGACCTTCTGCTTCAATGGTCTGCTGTTCCCAAAGCCCTCGTAAATCAGTGAGACATTGGTTGACATCCCCAAGTTGGATCTCAATGAAACCCTCCGGATGTTCTGGAGGCTGCTGAGCTGGCTGCTGGTCAGTGGTATAGATCCTGTCTGATGCAACTCCGCCTTCCGGTAGTTTGCATTGAAGTGGTCGTGTCTGATGACCCCATGGCCGGTGAGTATGAGCCACCTGCTCACCTGTTGGGCGCACATGGGGCTGCTGAAGCATCATGACGATGTCATCATGATCTTGGCTGGAAGACTCAATGTTTGTGGTATCAACGGACAATTGAAGATGTGTGCCCGAAAGAATATGCACCGAGAAGCCGGGCTGAAGATAGAATCCCGCCCAAGCCAATCTGCAAATAATCTGAGGCTGTCCACATAGATACGTCATTTCAGTCTGAGTGAGAAACGACTCAATTGTCATGGGTTGTTCAAAAATGGCTGCAAAACGTACTGGTAGTCCCTGAGGACTGCCAGGACCTTGTCGGCTGAATAGGCAGCCTGCTTGTGTGGGTAGGATATCTTGCAGGAGGATCAAATGCCCTCCGTGTCGCTGATCTGGGACCCCTGGCCGGACTGGAACAATTGTGGCAGTGTGCATGGCGTCAACTCTGTCAGACCATACGTGCCGAAGATGGCTGATCCACGTGCTTACATCTGGGGGTAGAGCTGCCAGCCTGGGAACTTCGCATCGATGGAATCCTCTATTGCTGAGAAACCATGTGTCAAAAAGCATCATTTCAGAGCGATCAGGAAAACGCTGCCGAAGATGTGGTCGATCCCAGAGGGCTCGTAATTGCTCTTGAAGTGCATGGGGCAAAAGGTCGCGAGGTGGCCGTCTCTCACGAATGGATCTCATCTGAATGGGACAGTGCGGCGCCGAAGCTCCAGAAAAATGACCTCCATCAGTGATAATAATGCTCGCCTGTACTTGGAATAAGGCCGCATGTTCCTCTGATGCAGGTTGACATTCTTGACCAAAAAGATAGTCCATGTCATCATCCGGGTTCCATGGTAGATGAAATCTGACATAGTCCCCATGCGAAAGCTGCAAGAGATGGTTGGCTTCAATATCAATCACATGGTGGTTGTGCCAAAGAGCGCATCGCCTGTAGCGTGGAGAGCAGTGTCCTTCGTACCCCAAAAGTCTGATGAGCGAAATAGCATTGCTCCTGTGTGGAAGCCAAAAACCTCTGCGTACAATTCGCAGTGCATCACCACGATGGTCTGGACGATATTCGATGTCAACCAAGACCAGTCGTAACAGCGTCGAGCTGGGCACGTCCTGTTCTTGTTGAAGAAGAAAACATTCAAGTTCTTCATGTGCCAGATCTTGTGGGATGGCCTCGACATGATAAACATTGGTGACTTGCTCTGTTGTGATGGAGAAGGCCTGTGCAATCTTTTGAGCTCGCAGGGGCGCATCTGTCCAGGGCACATCGACCTGTACTGCTTGGCCATCAACAGCATAGACCATCGCTAAACGCCAGTCCTCCCCCTCATCCACATTGGGCTGGTCTGAAGGAGCGGCAGACCTACTTCTGCTGGTAGAGGATGAACTGGCCGTTTGGTACGTTGCGAACATCTGGGCACTAGAGCGTGCCATGAAGTGTACTGCATCATCATCTTCTGGAAAATGCATCTGCGGCACAGGATCTGTACGAAATCTCGAGAAGAAGATGTCTTCCCATTCTTGGTCCGTGAGCCTGGGAGGAATGCGAACTACAATACCAAGACCATCAACCAGACGCATCGGTCTGGTCTGATCAAACTCAAAAGGACCAGCTTTGATAGTGCAGAACCCATAGCCTTGTTGCTGGACTTCTTCGCAGGCTTGGAGAGCCCCTGCATACCAGAGAAAACTCCGCGCAGATGTAAGATGTCCAAGAGAGTGTGCCGATTCAACTCGTCTGGTTGTGGGAATATCATCATACATCGCAGAAACCACGCAAGCAATCTGATGTGGAACAGGATGTTGTGTGAGCAGCACGGTTGCTGCAACGCCTCTTGTCACTGGAAGAGGCAACTCAGGCTGTACCAGATGAATGTCCATTGGTGCATTCTCATCTACAAAATCTTCCCAGACAAAGCGAAAATCTCTCTCCCATTCAACATAATCTCGGTCAATGCGCAAAGGCCGAGAGATGTGTTGGTGAGGATGATGCTGGTGACTAATGTAGAAGGACTGCAAATACAAAATTGGACCTTCTTCTGCCATCTCAACCGCTCCTTCGGCTTGTAGAAGATCCCATAGTTGGGTGACCCAGGCCGGAAAAAGCCTCAGTGGTGGCCTACGAGGATCTCGTTGCCGGTCAGGTGGACGGTCTCCATCAGAGCCATCCGACGGGTCAAGCATTTGTGGATCTTCTTGTCGATTCGGTTTCATCTGAATTGGATCACCTTTGGGAACTGCTACAACGGGAACATGTAGCAAAGACATGATATGCTCAGGTGAGAACACAGCACTGAACGAAGGCTTCGATACTTCTGTCGGCTTCATGATGGCAGAGAACTCTCCTCCTCTCAGAAGCCCCGCTGCCCATGGCATCCGTCCATTTCCAAGGCAGGATTCCGGAACAATATTGGAGTGCATCTTCAAGTCGTTCACACTGCCGATGAGGATTTCTGTGAAAGGATGAAACCCCAATCTTCTCACAGGTCGGCATGGACGAGATTCAGATGTGCTCACTTCGCCAGGATGAAGACCATGAACGCCGTCGTAAACCCCAAGCGCAAAAGCTAACGATCGTGCTTGCTCAATGGCTCTGCACTCAGTGACAAAGTTCTCTTCCTGGAGGATGCTATGTGTCCATTTCATGATGACAGGCACTTGAGAAGGTTGCCCACTGTCAAAACTCAGCCACGGCTTCAGGTTGGCATACTCTGGAGTCATACTCAACCAGCCTTGCCAAAATGCGATGAACCATCGCCAGGCACTTGTGGCATGTCGTGATCTTCTGGTCGAAGGGCCGTACGAGGCCTTTTGGCCACGTGTGCATCTTCTTCCACAAGCGTCTCTGCTTCCTTGTGCAGATTCTGGAGAGATGCTGCCAGACCCTGCATAGTCTCCGTGAGCTTGCTGGCGGTCGAGGTCCCTGCATTGGTCTCGTTCTCGCCCTCCACAAGCTCGTCGTCTGAGGGATGCAGGACTTCGCCAGCATCTAACTTGGCATTCTCGAGCTCGGACTTGGCCATGAGAAAGGTCTCTCTTGCTCCAGTCACTTGCTCCTGAAGTTTCCGCTCTTGCTCGACAAACTGATCCGTGTAGGACTTCCACATTTGAACTGCATCTGCAAGAAATTTCTTCCAGCATGCATGATGCTGACTTCTGGCCATAACAGCTTGGTCGTATTCCTCTCGGGATTTGTCCAAGGCTGAGACAGCTGCGTGCAGGTCCTTTGTCGACTGCTTGCCATACTTGACCAACATGGCTTGCACCTTTTTTTGCATGTCTTCCGGTAGCTCGGCCTGTCTTCCACGCATCATTGACATCAATCCCCGGACATCCGGGTCGTTCATAGAGCTCACAGGTGTCTTGGGAACTGATGGACACGGTGCTGCTGGCATGCTCGGCATCGTAGGCGCATACATTGTAGTAGGTGCCGGTGCTGCAGTTGGCAAAGCTGGTGCAGGCATCTTGGCTCCTGCAGGCATGCTCATTTGCCAAGGAGTATCCGGAGGTGGCAGAGGAGGTAGATGTCCTGCCATGTTCATCTGCGGAAATGGATATGCCATCTGTGGGTACATCTGCATGTTTGGACCCATCATGGTTGGTGCAGGCGGCATCATAGGCATCACCGGCTGCTGCATTGGTTGCCCCTGATTCCCTTGGTTTTTGGGAGTCTTTTGGCCTTTGGCACTCTTGGAACGTTGCCTGGGTGATGGCGTCCGTCCTCGGTTGCCCTGGGACTGTTGCCATTGAGACCAATCCGGCTGAGGCTGCCATTGGGCAGCCTGCATATTGCGGTGGTTGACCTTGTCCCTGTGTAGTTTGCTTCATGCCATGCACATAGGACGAGTCGATCACATTTTGCCAGGGCTGACGACAGGTCTGACAATACTGTGCGCTCTGTTTGCGCAACTGTTTGCAGAGTCTGCATCTCCACGGAGTCTTGGTATCGCCCGACATTGCTGTGACCAGCCTGCGAAGGAAAACCAGATCTCGAGAATGATGCACCTGGAGAATTGCAAAAATGCTCAAAAGTCTCTCCTTGGATAGTTTGATGATGCCCCGTTGATGGAGATGCCAAGCTCTGCGTGCAGCAGCCCTCTTGCGTCTGAGGTGTCTGCGAACTGTGGCAGTCGCCGTACTGGAAGTCCACGAGGATCAAAAAGCCCTTGGCAGAAACGTCCACCTGGAAGACCAAAAAGAGCACAAAAACCAATGCCAGAAAAGAGCCCCCAACCATAAACCGCTCTAGCCGAACTCGTCGATGGTGATCACCGGGAGTTCCGGGAGAGCACAGGCTAGCGAGGGTCTCCAATGCACCCGGGGTTTTGTTTAGACTAGTGCCGGGACACCAGTAGGTCAGCGCACGTTGCGAAGGCAGCTGCAATGCCGCCCGTGGGAAACCGCGCAAGATCCCACTCAGGAAAAGGTCCCTAGCTAAGTCCGAAGGGGGGAAGTGCTTCCTTCGGCCTAGCACAGAGCCGATACCTTTTGCTCAAAAAAAATATATATATATATATATCAATATATGGGAAAATAAAAAATGTTCCAAACCACTAACCAGTTATTCATGACGTATCCATTGATATTCCCGTATTCTTGGTGGTTAAAATCGTAGTCATGATCTGTCATTTCTCTGCGGATGCAATACCCTGAGCCCGTCCCATTTCGGGGTCAGGATTCCTGGCCATACAATACTGAATGATATTTAAGTGATATCACTATATCATGACTATATAAATGGATATATACGGGCTATCTACTGATATGCCGTAGTAATATGTAGTAATACCATTTTGGCACATATAATTAAGCTAGCAGCAGCTAGCAGCTATCATTTACCGTTTTTGTATTGGCTGTGAGAAGTGGAGGGTTCAGCCCTGGGTTTCCGCACGTTCATGGCCTCATCCAATTTCTGAACCTCAGGTGGTTTTTTCTCGGCCAGGCCAAGACCTTTCAAGCCACTGAACACTCAACAAATGAACCAGTTGATTCACTTACAATCAGTTCATGCACTTAACTTTTGGCCACTCACATTCCTTATCTCATCTAAGTTCCATGCATCAGCCATGAAATGTGCATCCCTTTATCATACAATCATCACCATCACCGTGTGCCTGATCTATTTAAAACCGGACTGCCGAGGTTTACGATGGAAAATCATGGAATTGATGGAGGAACAGCATTTTATCTTTATCATTCTTTGATGTGTTTTGCCTTTGATTTTTTGAGCAACCCAAACATTCCAAATTTAAGCTGCATAGATTCAATCTTTCCTACAGGAGTTGAGATTCCATGCCAAAAATGTGAGCAACATGCTGAGGCCCGGTGCCAACATGGCACATCATCATGAGTATCATGCCACAATGCTACAACTCCAGCGGCCCCCCAAAAAATAACTCAAAACACACAAACGCACACAAACACAGACACACAGACACACACACACACACCCACACGCACACGGACACGCACACGAAACATTATAGCAGAATGTGTGAAACGACAGGCACCCCCAGGTTTTTGATGATGTCCCCAGGTCCTGTGGTTCGCTATTTTCGCCAAGGAACTCCAAGCTGCTCATCTGGCACTGCCTGGGAGATTTAGGAGGGATCGTCTCAGGAACAACGTGGGGAAAGCAACGTTGTAGGATGTCTCAAGAACCATCCCCCATTTTACTACCATGGTAGGTTTATGATAAAACAATTGAAACCATTAGCCAAATTAGCGTCTCAAAACTGGAAGATTTCTCTCCAGTGATTTAAGTGGAAAACTACTACGGCTGCAATCAGCTAGTCTAAGTGGCCAATGCACTTGACAATGAGCAGCTGCGAAATGATCAATTCGATCTACAAACACAGGAATTAAAAAAATACAAGCCACATCCCCATCATATTCAAATTGTGGAGATCTTTGGTGTTTGAAGCTTAACATATTGATGGGTTGAAAGCTGAATATCAACCAAGTTTATGAATAATTAATATGTTACTTTCTCTCTTCATAAATTATTCGCCTATATTGATGCAACTTGATTGGCATGGGTTGAACAATGCCTCTGCGCATCTTCCAATCCATGCCCAAGACTTACGCTCAGAAGTTTGGGTTTAACCGCTTTCCGTTGGGAATTCCGTGACTTGAAAACAACACCCTTGTCTCAGGCATGTTTTGTTGGGTTGTGGTTTAAATGAACACGCTAGTAGTTGAAACGGCTGCGCAAGAATATGCGCAGTAGGCGTCAATAAAATCAATAAGTAAATCATAGTAAATCGATAAGCAGTTTGCATCCAACATCAATCAGCCACCTCACAAAAAAAAAAAAACACAGAATTGGATGATGGGAACATTGAAACCGGAAGCCCCTATAGAATTGATGGTTGAAACCATGGTTTCCGGTGAAATTTTTCCCAACACAACCAATCCATTGACATCCCGACCCAGTTGAGCATTGGACCACGCCACCTGACCACGAGATGCTGTTCGCCGGCTGTATCGTCATCACCTGTAGACACCCCTGCCCCAAGGACACTTTTAACCAGCCTTGGAGTCTGATGAGGATGAGGATGATGAGGATGATGAGGATGACGAGGATGACGAGGATGTAGGTGCTGAATGGTGTTGAATGGTGTTGAATGGTGTTGAAAGGTGTTGAGGGTGATGTTTGTGGCACAAAGGCTTTGAAGATAAAGTGAGCATGATGAGGGAAGTATCACGAGAAAAATGCGCGATTCACCATGTTAAAATTCTGGTTGGTGGTTTCAACCCATTCCAAACCAGTTGCGAACGGTGGGTAATCACCATCCCATATAGTGATAATTTTGAAAACAAACACCACAGGCAAAGGTGAATTGCAAGCATAAACAACTAAATAACAATCATATAGTAATGCATTCTCGTACTTATCTCTCCTCTGATACTTACTGCTCTTGTCATTGTTGTCATGTCTCTCTCTCTCTCTCTCCTTCTCCTTCTCCTTCTCCTTCTCTCTCTCTCTCTCTCTCTCTCTCTCTCTCTCTCTCTCTCCATCGCCTTCAGGTCTCCCTGCCCGAGCTGTGCCGGGGGCGTTGTCATGTTATTGTGTAATTCTATTTATGGTTCATTGATACTATCATGTTGCGCATATCTATCCATCTATCTGTCTATCTATCTATCTACCTATCTATCTATCTACCTCTGCCAAATTCTGCCAATATGTCTAACAGATTCTAATACGAGTAGCGATGTCAGGACCATCTGGTGATTTCAAGGACCCCCACTCCCACTGGGCAATGGGAAACAGCGCTCTTCGGCTCTTCGGCTCCGACCTCCACTGAGTTCTCTTCGTGGCACCGCTTGAAGTTCAAAAGATTGACCAACTTAGGGTATCTAATGTCAACCCCGGATTAATAAACCATAATTTATTAACTAGGGGGTACTTCACCAATAGTCATAATCTGATACTTCAATGGTACCCCCCCAATTAAACAGCCTAAGGGTTTATTAACCCAGGGTTGACATTAATCTACATGTACCTTTAGTATCTTTAGTATTATATAATGTTATAAAACCAACAAACTGATACAAACTGTAGATACTGTAGAATGTTAGTATACAACAATCTGAGTTATATAACTAATATATATATATATATAATATATTGCTAATATAACCATAGGTAGCCGAGGGGTCCGCCTTGTAATGTATCATACTTGGGGCTGCGGTGCATCCCGGCGAGTCATTACCCACTGGTATCGTAAACTCCGGTAGTTCGGATCTTGGTATCCATGGTTTTATTGGGCTGGGCTGCCTGAAAACCCTGTGAAAAGTAGCAGCCCATCATTGATGGCCCAAGCAAGTTATAGGTTTGCTCGTGCCTCTCTCTCTCTCCCTCTCTCTCTCTCTCTCTCTCTCTCTCTTGGTGACTGGGTTAAACAGCAACAAGTGGAGTGGAACACAACCATTTACCCAACCTCATGCCTGTCAGGGTTCTGTCATAGATAGGGGATGCAAGAACAACGCGGAAAAACAACGACGACGACGATGACGACAAGCACCACCACCACCACCACCACCACCACCTCCACCACCTCCACCACAACAACAGCAACAACAACAACCACAACAACAACAACAACCACAACAACAACAACAACAACACAAACTCACCCTGTGCCGAGTGCTGTCCATTTGAATCCATTTGAACCCATCGCCACTTCAACCTTCAAGAGTCTCCTTAAATGACCGCTGTTTCACTCTTATCTTTGTTCACTTCAGACTTGTGAAGGTCTTCATCAATCTTCATCTCGAATATTTTGTAGAAATCATCCTTTTGGCTCTTCCCATTGCTGTCGAGAAGTGCTTCAGTCTTAAATGCGGTCTTCTGTTGGTTGAGTGCAGGACCAGTTGATGATGATTCTACACTCTCGTATAACCTGTCGCGACAGTGGGATGCAGTCACCCAAAAATATTATGAATTACTGAAATAAGTTCCTGAAGTGACAATGCAAACACACATGACAAACATCAAAATTTGAAATGCATGCTCGAAGGCCTGTTGGGAATGCAAGCGCACAAGTCAGACGTCACTGAAGACAAGCAGGTCTTTGGGCAAAAACCTTTACGAAAGTCTTTAGGCTACTCACCAAGAAACACCAACAAGGACTTGAGCGAAATGTCCTACAGTGATTCCAATTGCAGAGGGTTCGCCCTTTTTCTTTGAAACAATGCTGGATCGGAGCTACGGTTTGCTTAGATCAGCTGCAGTCATCTGCCGTCTTGCATTGGCAGGCCAATTTGTTGAAAGTCTTAGAGGCTGTAATCAGGTCATACTTCTTGGCAAAGTCCGTGAAGTTGAGAGGGACGTATGAATATCCTTCTTGGCCGCCGTGCAAACATTTTAAGTTGAATGCCTCTTCATAGCCAATGCTTTTATGCCCAGGCATGGTGGCAATCCAGCCTATCTTCCGAGCCTTCGTTTGCTTGAACCATCCAGCCTTCCACTGGCCTGTCTTGGCCAAGTGACATAACTCGTCCTTACACATGTCAGGCAAGATCTGGGTCGCAAAGCTGCCCTTATGGATGTCGCAATTCTGCATGTCCTCCCATTTGAAGCCACCGGGCCTGCGTACATATTTCTTGGACTGAACCATACAAAAGCCGTGGTCTTTGGATTCTTGAAGACGTACATATCTACCACCATACCTGCCATTGTCGAAGAAGATGAAGTACTGACCGCAATCTGAATAGAGATCTGTCCTCCAGAAGGTGTGCTCGTCGAACTCGTAGTACTCCTTGTAGATTTTCACCCAAGCTGGAGCTGGCTTCAGATGAGAACAGTCAACATCACCATCGAGATCTTTGAGCCATTTGAGCCTATTCTCCGGTCGACGGGCGGCTCCAGCAAGACCCAAAAGACACGCCAGGGCTGTAGCATTCAAAACCTCTAGGACGCGCATCATAGTTTGCAGATCACCGGATGACTGATTAATCCTTGAGCCAATGAACTACATCACATTTGTGAAATTCTAAGTTTGCAAGGGCTCAACGGGCTCAACACATGTCGGATCAAGCTTCAATATATACATCATCACACACTCACGTCCAACACATCTGACGGATCAAACCTGCAAGGCCCAAATACAAAGATGCAAAATCATCAACGATCCACATCTGACCAGCAACAGCTGCAGGCAATCAGGGATGAAATGATTTGAACAAAAGTAATGCCACCATTGCTGATATTTCCAATGAAAGTTGGTTCGAAATTTGGTTATTGGATGCTGCTTGTCAAGCCATGAATGCTTCATGGGCTGCTTGACGGAACCCGAGGTTTGCTCTGTCGCAAACAGGCGAGGAGTGCTAGCGAGGCCAAGGTCGGTTCCAGACGGTTCTGTCGGCGGTGAAAGGAGTTTAGAGGCACTTCAGTTCAAACTGAAAAGTGGCAGACCCGATTCGAACCGCCAGTTTCAGGGTCCAATTGTTAATTTATATCCGCCGACCCCGGTCAACCAATTAGGGGGAGCGCACCCAGGGTTATACCACAAGAGCGAGTGTTAAGTGCTAAAGCAAGCTGATTGCTAGAGTAATTCAATAGGTGCGTGTGAGCATTTCCTGTTCTTTTACCTTTTTTTTATTGCACAAAAGTGAGTGTCAAGTGCGAAAGCAAGTAAGAAAAAGTTGTTCCTTTGTTTTCCCCTCTTCCTTTTATTAGTGTACAAAAGCGAGTGGTAAGTGCGAAAGCGAGTAGGAAAGCTAAAGTAATTCAATAGGAATGTGTGAGCCTTTCCTTTTCTTTTACCTCTTCTTTTTCTTCTTGCATTTTTCTTTCTTTAGTTTTCTTTTTCCTTTTCCCTTTTACTTCACCTTGTGTTGTCCCTTCCTCCTTTTCCTTTTTTCTTTCTCTCTCCCTTTCATTTTCTCTTTCTTTTTCACTTTCCCTTCTCATTTTTCTTCCTCTGTCCATTTCATGTTCTCCTTCTCGTTTGCTTCCACAACCTCGGCAAGAAAAACTGAAAGAACTTGGAACAACAACCATGTTCCTTTTCGACCTTCCGCCCAAAGTATTCGCAACTACCTCTTCAGTTGGCCGGGGTAGCAGGCCTCGCAAAGACCTTCCCAGAAGTGTTGAGCCTTTCTACGATGCTGCCTCGCCTGCCCAGGCGTACGTGAAACTATGTGAAAGTATTTGTCACTTTCCCTCGGCACTGTATCACGCTTGAAGTGACTTGGAGGGCTTATTTTCCTGGTGATGTGTTCTGGCACTCAAAATCTTCCATCCTCCCACTTTGATGGTGGGATACGTGTTTGCCCTGCTCACTTTTGACGGGTGAATCTTCTGTTATACCCCTGGGTGATTCTGGGTGTTTTTTTCGTTTTTGTGAGATTCTGTGAATGAGACCTTCCTTTGGTTTTACATATTTGCTGGAATGTTCTCCGATTTCTGCTGTTCAGCACACAGAATGAAGGCATACGGTCGTTTTCCAGTGTTTCAACTGATTTTTTGTCTTGCTCCAACCTGAATTCCCGTCCTGTTTTGCAAGAAAACTAGGAGCGAACAAATTCTTATTGGAACCTCATCAGCTCTGCAAGAGATTATTGAAGTGTTTGGGTCCTGAAAAGTCCTGAAACACTGTAGGTACTAGCGCGCATCGATGCGCATCGTGCCCCTGCAAGCACAGGGGAACTCTTACTTCCCAACCAACACTCTCAGATTCCCCCTCGGCTGCGTGCAAATGGTCAGTTGTTTCTTCTTCGATCCTCTTGAACCGCTACTCCACGGCACGAGTTCGAGCTGACGAAAAAATGATTTAGCTTTCAGAGCTGTTGGGCTTAGAGGGCCGCACTGGATGAGATAGATCAAAAAGCATTGTGGGTAGGCACCCGCACCAAGCATAAGTGGTGCCCGTGGGCTCAGAAGCCCTCAGCCAACTGGACCTTCTCGAACTGCTTCCTTGGAGATGAAAACTACAGCAAGGCAAACTGCAGAACAACCTAAGGACCCAAGGCTTGTGAGGTCCATTAGCGGCCTCAAAACACCGGAAATTCACAGAAATTCAATTGCACAAGTTTGGCTAGGCATCTTCTTCAACACGAAGCTCAGCTGGGCAATGAAGCAGGAGAAGGCAAAGGCGCAGAAGGCGTAGACACGGTTCATGTCCTGCAGGATGCACTCCTTCTCTTCCTGCGTGGTCCCCTCCACCCTGGAGCTTGGGTGACGGAAACTGGAGATTGGAGATTGGGAGCCGACCCAAACAAGTGCTGGATGACACACGTTTCCAAACTAGGCCTTCCAACTCTACCAACAATAATCAATATTCAAGCCTGGCAACGAGACTCCCAGAATCCACAAGGATAGCACACTGCACAACCAACCTTACGTGGGTATACTATATGCACCTTGCATATTGATTCTAATATCGCAAAATAGTACCAAAATAAACAGGAACATGCGGGAACCATGATAATGACAATACAATGATATCACCAGCACATCACTGACAAAACATGTCATAGGATTCATCGAAAAGGCACCTGACCGAAGCCGCCCACGTTGGGGTTGGTGGTGAGGGGCTCATCCTTGGTCACCTCGTCACCCACCTGTCAGAGGGCTTGCCTTTCTTCAGTAACCCTCCCAAAAATGCCACAAAGTGAAGATACAGTAAATCATTTTGTTTAGTAGTACCCTCTGGTTATTTAACATAGCCATGGAAAATCACCATTTTTAAGAACGGTAAACCGGTAAACCATCTATTTCTATGGGCCATCTATACCATGGCGAACTGTTAGTCATAACCAGAGGGTAAGTTATTCTCTGCGATTTTATGTTCCCATCTTTTTGGGGATGACATTGATGGCTTGAAAGATCCGAGTGATGTAGCCAGAGGATAGCCTCAGGAAAAACTCATCTCCTGGTGGAATGTATTGGATCTAACGGGGATGGGATTATTAACATCGAAATGGAAAACATGGCAGCGATGGTTTCTTCGAAAAAATCTCGGGAAAAGGTTGCTTATACTTATATATATATAAATATATACACACACTATAAAGAAACTAATATTAATGTACAGGAGAGTATGCAATAGAAGCCTGTTGGGGATGTGAGTGAGTGGCCCCGGGACAAGCTAGTCAGCTGGAAAACCACTCTGAGAACCAAACTGGAAGGTGCTAAAAGATGTCAAGAGACTTTTAACAGAGCAACTACTGAAGCCCTGGTGGAACCTGACTGCTCATTGAGCCGACTCAGCGCCTGAATATCAATAATCATAATAATCCATATGAAACTAAATGCACCTAAATATTGGTGGATTCTAGTATATATAGTGATTTTGTGTCCATTCTTGGCACCATCAAGGTAACTTGAACGATTTTGCAGGCTGCGGGACCAATGATGCAGTTTGTCAAATGTCTCGTGAGAGAAATGACTCACCTCAAATAAATCGTACCATTCCTAACAACACGCCTCACAATCCAACTCGCCAATCATCAATCAATGGCCATTTCAGGTAACTAAATTAAAGGTACCTACCATATATAAGGCCAATGTAAGGCGTATGTCTGCAGTATGTAGGGGGATGGTCAACAGTAGCCCCATTTCAATTTAGGGTCCTGAATTTCCCATTGAATCAAAAATAATCAACAAAGCTGGATCAAGTATCACCATTTCCAAACTGGAAATCCACATCAATCAGTCTTATTTTGGGGATGGTTCTGGAAAAATCCGTGGACCAACCGTCCCAGGTCTGTCGCCAGCATGGCGCAGGGCCGCCTGCACCACGATGTCAGCACCTGTCAGGCACTCCTGGGTCTTCACTTCGCCGGAAGGAGTGGTGATGCCCACCTGCCAGGCGGTGCCCAATGGATTGCCGGTGATGGCTCAAAGTTGGTGAAATTTGAATGCCCCGAGGCTCCAGGGCTTGGGGCGCCCAAAAAAGGAACCAAACTACCAGACCTACATAGGAAACGGTGGGAGCGTGATGCAAACAGACCGCGACCAGCGGCCATCCCGTATCATCTTCTATAAGCCTCCTGGCGTGGATACAGTAAGTTTTGACATTGGACGAACCTCATGGGAGATTGCCTAGATGTGATTGTGGCCAACTATAATTAATAGATTCTGAGGATGTTCTATCATGCTGAGGAGGACTGAAAGTAGATACAACATCTGGAAGGTCCCAAGGTGGACTCCTCTTTAACTCCAAAGCTGAGCACAGGTCAAACCACCGTTGAAACATGACATATTCTCATGATTACTGCGAAAAACAGTCAGCATTCATTAATTTATATAGACATATGCAGTAACAGCTGAAGTACATGAACCTGTTGCAACCGTCGTCGCATTTTGAGATAACCCAAAGCTTTCCCTTTTAGGCACAGGATGGGATGGCACAGGTGAGGACATTGAGGCCTTCAAGCCATCGATGGCGGAGATGGTGCCGGTGGCGGATGCCAAGAACTGGTTGTTGTTGCTCTGATTGCCCTCAGGGTACACCTGCCATTTCTTGGCTCCCAGAAATCAAGGGAACAGCAGAAAGCAAGCCCCTGTTATCTTATGTTCATGAAAACCGACGGGGACTCCGGGTTTCCGGCACATTTCTCACAACAAATCCGTTCGGTCATCAAAACCAGTCATATAGCAGCGCCAGCCTGTCCACGACCGCGGTTGCCACCAAAGTAGAAGATGCCCTTACCGAAAATGACCTTGTCCTCATTTTCGGCACCCCTTTCATGGCCAATCTTGATTTTTTTTGGGGGGAGGGTTGGTTAGTATATACCGCCATGTACCCTTTGGTTATTTAACATAGCCATGGAAAATCATCACTTTTAATAGGTACATCATCTATATTTCTATGGGTGATTTTTTCCATAGCTATGTTAGTCATAACCAGAGGGTATATCCATTTATGACTTGGAGGTTGGACACAAATTCGCAATCCATTTATGTGACTCAGTTGACCGGGAGAATTTCTCCGATGGCACCCGATGCTTGGTCTCCACTTTCCAGATGTTTGGACTGTACGTTTCCCGCTTGGTCACCCATTTCAAAATCTCCTTCAAGTCAACCCCTCGAAATGGAACGTTATCACAAGATATCACAAGTAGAGGACTCAAGATACTCCAAACATTCATCGCCGAGTGGCGTTGGTGTTGGGATCCGGGGACAGCACTGGGAGCACCATCTTCTCATAAGTCTCACCTGGAAAACAAGCCATTCTTGGAATGATTGCTGCCAACAACTAGTTGTGGTGAGGTGAGGTCGCTCCTTTAGCTCCCTTTGGATCCCTTTGGCATTTCATTCCTTTCAGGGGCCAACGGCCCATTGATGGAACAACAGAAGAAAATATCGCAATTACTGTTCTGAAGGTGGTCGAGTGACTCAAGTTCCAAGTTCCAATACTGTAATTCTTCAGTAAATGGCTTCCCTGTGCTGTAACACTCGTCGCAGCTAAAAGACCAATCAAGGGATTGTGGAACACTGCGATGCCATACAGCCCTGCACTTCACAATGCAAACACAAGATTAACCCAAGTAAAAAATCGCCTTCAACAGTCACCATGGTAGCCCCCAATAATATAGAATATAGATGTTCAACTGTTCAATGATCAATCCATATCAATCCCTTTAACATCGCCTGGGACCGGTCCAGCCACCACGATGTTGGGATACTCCTGGCGCTGGGCTAGTGGTTCAGCCATCCCATGTCAAGAATGTTGGTCTACATCAGGATTGGCTGTGTCATCCCAAGTCTATAGAACTCTCTGCTTCAACAAGTATGGGGAAAGTCTCACTGAAGCCATTGGGTCTCCTTGCTGTAGGGAGCCCAGGCCAAGCCCTTCATCTCCTTCTTCAGAGGCTTGGGGAGACGGTCCTTGGGAGCCAACTTCCATCCCTCAGGCATCACGGCAATGGCGCCAATGTTCATGGGGCCCTTGGAGCCATCAGCAAGAGGCTGGCGGCGCTTGGCGTACTTGGCTGGCACCTCAACCTCCATCTTGAAGATGGTGTCGGGGAGCACTGCCTGAGGAAGCCTCACCTCAATGGGTTTGCTGGCCAAATGGCAATTGGCGCACACGATCTTCCCAGTGTACTCACGAGGGTTGGAATAGTTCTGCTGGGCAAAGATAGGGTACGCAACAGCTGCCTCCATGGAGCTGGTGAACAGCATGGCGGCAGAGGCACCGGCCAAAGCCTGCTTGGCAAAGGCCTGGATGCCCTCCATGTGCTTGTCAGTCTCCTCTGGGGTAGGAGCATCCACGCCGTTCAGCTGCGCGCGGCAGGCCACCAGGTGGTCGCGGTAGTAGGACCTCGGAACAACAAGGAAATTGTGGCACTATAAGAGCTGCATGTTGAAAATCCTCAGCTCCCTGTGATGCCCCAAAATCAACGAACGGCCGAGCGCAACTCTCATCGCAAACTCCTCTATATATTTGTAAGTTGACTCCTGTTTCACCAAGCCGCTTCTCGTAGCTTCAACCCATACCCAACCAATGAGCATTGATCTGTCTATATGGGTACATTAAAAAATCTGGGTATGTTACTGCGTATTTGTCGCAACGCATGGAACATCAATATCTTCAACGCATCCAGCTGGAAAAGGCCCCAGAACGCCCCTGATCTTCCCTGGCCCAAGTCGACATCTACCAAGCCACTCCCCCAAGTTGCCCACCAGGCTGGTCCCCGCCATGGATCGACGCTGCTTGCGAGTGCGGCGCACACCGGCCGCAGCTGCAAGGCCGCAGGCTGCTAAGCCAGCACCTGCAGGTTGATCGGGTAAAAAACAAAAGGGCTGGCCCTGCAGTACATTTGTCCGCATAGCAAGGTTCTTGCTGCAAGCTTCACTCTATGATTCACTCAATTGCTTGGGGATTTTCGAGCAAAGCCAGTTGGCAAGGGGCAATGTTTTCTGTATGTTTTACCTGCAAGCGTCTCAAACGGCTCTCTCCCTCTCTCTCTCTCTGTGACATGTTTTCCCTCGTCAGGAATGATTCTGGTTGAAAAATCCTCCGGAAGTGGAATATGTCTGACTCCATGAAAGATGATCTTCACATTGAACAAATGTAAATTTGAAGGATCTCCACCAGTCCGTGTTTGCCTCTGGAGTCGTGAAAATCCTATAAGGAATGAAGAAATTTGGAGGCCTCTAATGCCTCTATAGATATTGTTGGTCCTCCATTGTCGCAGTCGAAGAAGCAAATAAGAAGATTGAAGAAGGTTTGTGTGAACATTTCATACCATGGTATACCGGCATGCCCTAAAAATAACACAGAACACGCAATTAAGAACAATTATATATATAAGAATAACAACTCTGATGGGAAAATACGGTTTCTCTATTTTCACACGACCCCAAAAGTTTAAACTCCACAACTTCGCAACCTGGCCATGTCTTCCACCGGTTGGACCCGGCCTGTGCCAGAGAGTCCATGCTGAGTTGCTTGGGGTCGCGCGATCTGGTGGGTGGGCTGCGTCACTGTGCCAGCGGAGCTGGAGACCACGGTGAAGGCTGGGGCCAGGGCCATGGCTGATGGGAAGATTTTGGACCAAACTACCGTGCTGGGGAGCCCAAAGCTGGTAGGAGGTGGGCTCCAAGCTGGTGAGGCTGGTTGAGTCGGCAATTTCAAGCCACCCCAATGGCTCAGTCGCAGTTATGCAGGTGGTCAAAATACCCCCAAAAATTACTTTACTTCGTGTGATCCCCACCATGACATTTATACATTTTGTTACTGGCAAATCTTCTGGCATTCTATCTGACATATTTTCTGGCATTCGATCTGGCATTCTATCTGGCATATCTTCTGGCATTCTACCTGGCATATCTTCTGGCAGATGTTCTGGCATATCTTCTGGCATATGTTCTGGCATATCTTCTGGCATATCTTCTGGCATATGTTCTGGCATATCTTCTGGCATATCTTCTGGCATATGTTCTGGCATATCTTCTGGCATTCCATCTGGCATTCTATCTGGCATATCTTCTGCCATATTATCTGGCATATGTTCTGGCATGTTATCTGGCAAATCTGCTGGCATTCTATCTGGCAAACATTCTGGCACTTTATCTGGCATATCTTCTGGCATTCTATCTGACATTCTATCTGGCATTCTATCTGGCATACCTTCTGGCATTCTATCTGGCATGTCTTCTAACATTCTATCTGGCATATCTTCTGGCACTCTATGTGGCATATCTTTTGGCGTGGATACTCGCGGTTGAGGTCCGGCAGGGAACACTGGGCGTGGATGGTCGTGGTTGAGGTCCGGCAGGGAACACTGGGCGTGGATGGTCGTGGTTGAGGTCCGGCAGGGAACACTGGGCGCGGATGGTCGTGGTTGAGGTCCGGCAGGGAACACTGGGCGTGGATGGTCGTGGTTGAGGTCCGGCAGGGAACACTGGGCGTGGGTGGTCGTGGTTGAGGTCCGGCAGAGAACACTGTGGATCGCGGGTCGCAGTTGAGCAAGGACGACGAGGACGACGAGGACGACGAGGACGACGAGGACGACAAGGACGACAAGGATGACAAGGAGGACGAGGAGGACGAGGAGGAGAGGAGGAGGAGGAGGACGAGGCAGGAGGAGGCAACTGACATAAAATCTAGCAACCCTCACCTGGCAGGTGGGGAAAAACATCTAACGTTCACCAAGCAGGGATCAGCCTTGGGCCCTCTTCCAATTTTTTCGAGGTACCCTGGTTACCAGTGTCTATGGCCTCCAGGCTGGCTGATGTCAGCAGATCCAAGCAGTTTTTCCCGCTGGCGCTACGTGCGTCTTCGAAAAAATGCCACTTCAGAACGAAGCTGAGCTGAGCTATGAAGCAGGAGAAGGCAAAGGCGCAGAAGGCGTAGACGCGGTTCATGTCCTGCAGGATGCACTCCTTCTCCTCCTGGCTTTGGAACCATGGAGCACAGCACCAAGCAAGGTGAAACCTGTTTTGGGGTATTTTAGATTCTTGCTTCGGCAAAGTTACAGGCAGCAGGAAACTGCCATTTGGGTTGCCAGGTTTGAATAGCTGCAGCGGCAAAACAGCCAATTATCACCCCCACTTCGCCATGGATCCTGGAAAACCATTGAAACGGATGGAAAACCAACATAAACCACTAAAACAACACATCAAACACCAACACCGCAATAAAAACCATGAAAAACCATCAAAAACCAGCAGCATCCAACACCTCTGGCCGCCCTGAAAGCCAACAACTTTTGGGCATCGCCTTCCAACCCCCCAGAATTTCCAACCAGACATCCACTGCCTGGCCAAAGCCGCCGACGTTGGGATTGGTGGTGATGGGCTCATCCTTGGTCACCTCATCACCCACCTGCACCACGATGTCAGCACCTGTCAGGCACTCCTGGGTCTTCACCTCACCCGAAGGCGTGGTGATACTCACCTGAGCCCAGGGAAAGCCCAGGGAAAGCCCAGAGAAAGCGCTGGAGGATCCTGGAGGATGAGAAGGCGTGAAAAGATGAAGTCATGTCCAAAATGGCTTCGAAAATTTCGTTGGAATACCAAGAAAAAGGAATACCATCCTGCAATATCCTGTGCCCATTAAATAGTGTTTTAACTATTATGCTACTGTACAGTGAAGGAGATAAGGATGGGCACACCCCGCCATCCAGGGTGCCAGCTGTGAAGTCTTGGAACCTTCAAACCATCGATGGCGGAGATGGTGCCAGTGGCGGATGCCAAGAACTGGTTGTTGTTGCTCTGGTTGCCCTCAGGATACACCTGCGGCCAGCAGTTGGTGTACTCGAGTAGCAGGTTTGGGCAGCCCAAACCTGCTACCTGAATACAGTTTCCCACGTGTGACAGCGCAGGGAGCACCATCTTCTCATAGGTCTCACCTTGGATCGGATCACTTTCCTGACAAAAAAACATACAAAAACCAAGGCTCCATGAATCACTTGCCATTTCAGGTCATCCACTGAAGGACCTTGTAAACCATAGCCATGGTTTCAGGGCATATTCCCATACATAGCCCTTACAAAGGCCTAAAAAAGGTAGGTGCCTCGGTACCTCCAATAAATCGGTACCTGAAATGGCTGAATCTGGATCTCCGACCTGGCACGGGTCCGGCCACCACGATGTTCGGATATTCCTGGGGTGCCACGGGCATGCCGGGCGATGGTGCAGCCATGAGACTCCACTCGAACCATCAATTTGGTTATCATCAGCATGGTCCTAAATTGTCTAAAACATATCACAAAGTCAATTCACAATGTCCTTATGAGGCGTCAAGAGTCATGGGACAAATGGTATACCAGTCGGGAAAAAACACATTGCATCATAGCATATCAAAGCCAGGATCATAGCTAGCATCATATATGAGGCTCAAAACACTGACCCAACCCAACCGAAAAAAAACCTGAAGTCTCCTTGCTGTAGGGAGCCCAGGCCAAGCCCTTCATCTCCTTCTTCAGGGGTTTGGGGAGACGATCCTTGGGAGCCAACTTCCATCCCTCACGCATCACGGCAATGGCGCCAATGTTCATGGGGCCCTTGGAGCCATCAGCAAGAGGCTGGCGGCGCTTGGCGTACTTGGCTGGCACCTCAACCTCCATCTTGAAGATGATGTCGGGGAGCACTGCCTGAGGAAGCCTCACCTCAATGGGTTTGCTGGCCAAATGGCAATTGGCGCACACGATCTTCCCAGTGTACTCACGAGGGTTGGCATAGTTCAGTTCTGCTGGGCAAAGATAGGGTACGCAACAGCTGCCTCCATGGAGCTGGTGAACAGCATGGCGGCAGAGGCACCGGCCAAAGCCTGCTTGGCAAAGGCCTGGATGCCCTCCATGTGCTTGTCAGTCTCCTCTGGGGGTAGGAGCATCCACGCCGTTCAGCTGCGCGCGGCAGGCCACCAGGTGGTCGCGGTAGTAGGACCTGACTAAACACTGATGAACTTGACTCAAAGTTCAGACCCAAGAAGGAAGCACAATGCCTGGAACGTCTCAATCATCAGGTCTTTCAAAAGAGTAAGAAGGCGGTACAGTCGCAGTACTCTTCATAAGACCATAGTTGGTGGTCAACTCATACCCATGGGTTCTGTTTCTACCAAACCTGTCAAATTCTTCCCGATTCCATCCACTTTCGGGAGTTTTCGGGAATTTTCGCCATTGTCCAGTTGCAGGACAATAGGCTATTCATGGGACATTAATATAGGAGATTGATAGTGACCATCCCCAGCTTGCACATCCCAAAGGCTCTCCAAAGTTGCCCGCCATGTTGGCTCGGGAGCCGCGCGCACCGCGCCGCCCTGCGCGACGCACGCCGGCTGCTGCAGCCATGCCACAGGCAGCCAAAGCTGCACCTGGCGCGGCCAGGGTTTGTCATCTGGTTGGAAGATTCATTTCAAGCCATGATGTCTTGGTCAGTTGAAAGTCACTTGGTCACTTGGGATCAGTTGGGATCAGTTGGGAGTCAGTTGAGATCATGTCTGAAATAGAGTTGAAAATAGAACAGATTTGAAACCACCAATCCATTCTGTCAAACCCATCCAGAGGGGCCATGCACTTCCAGAATCGACGGCTCCAGGATCCACTTTTTTCGTTGCAAGTTGCAACTGTGATGGGTTGCTTTGATCTCTGAAGATGGATGGTTTGTAGATTCCATGACATATGGAGACCCACAATTCGGCTGTGCTCGGCACCGTGTGAAATTCCTAGACTCCAAAGCCCATGAACATGGATGAAATTCACGACAGCACAACACAACCTCTAGAAAAAGCCATCATGCCATGAATCCTGCATCACAAACCCATCATGTAGATCCACCCCACAATCTCCTAGTGGGAAAAAACCGAAGGGCCGGTCTGGGATACGATCAATCATCACCTACAGTACCTATACTAGTTGGAAGGCGGTGGGCTATGTTCTTTAAAAAAAAAGGATCAACATGGATGGACCAACCAACTAGGTGATCCACTCAGCCAGCAAAGTCGCCATCTCAACCCCCTCATCTGCACCTGTGCCACTCACCCCATGGCCGGTCCCAGTGGTTCCCTGTGCTCTTGGGATCTGCTCCAGGGGCGTCACCACCGTTGGGGTCACCACGGTGAATGCTGGAGCACCCACCAGCGCCATGGTGGGAAACGAAGGGAGATGCTGGGGCAAGTGGAGCCAATTGAGCAGCTACCAGCTGCGAAAAGGTCTTGAACAGTGGGAGTTTGAAACTGTCAACGGATTGATGTGATGGAAAATAGGAAAAAGCTTCACCGGAACTAGATGGTCTTTAAGGTCTTCCCCCAAATCAAGGGTGTTCCTCTGTGTCTCCTTTGAACAATCTGGGAGCTGGGGCATGGCATGGCATGGCGAATGCATGGTATTTTTGAAAGTTGGCTGAAGGATCTTGTCAGATCGGAACTTTGGGATACTTGGAAAGTTATCCCAAAAACCCCCAAAACCTTGGCCCTGTTTCAGCATTGCTGGCTCGGCTCAGGCGGTGTTTTCTAATCGGCGCCACGCACGCCAAAATACGATCGAAAAAATGGTCTCACCCGAGGCAAGGTGAGTCAAATTCTGGTTGTTATTGTCCTTATTTCCTTTCAAGGATAGTTCTGTGAAATCAAACTCGTCAATCTGATTTTTGAATCATTGTTGCCTTTTGTTCGTGTGATTTTGAGTGTTGCCATGGGCAACGCTAAGCAAAGTCTGGCAACAGCACCGGCATGGTGCGAAGCTGCCGCAGCAGGAGAATATCAAGTGCAAATCAACAATTTGTTCTATCCCTCTCTCTCTCTCTCTCTCTATCATGGTCATGAATTCACAGGGGGACGATTGAACCTACTGTACCAAGAAGAAAAGAATCCATCACCATGCCATGTCACTTGCTGTGAACAGCTGCTGTGTCCATTATGCCATTAGCCTCGCCCTCAGAAGCCCTCAGCAAGTTGGACCTTCTCAAACTGCTTCCTGGGTGGCTGCCCCGATCATAACGTGCGGAGAGCATTCCACAGTAAAGGAACTCACTACTCATCTACTAGAAGTACATAAATTACATAATCATCTGGTGGCAATTAGGCATCTTACAGCTTGTACTTTCAGCATCTTTGAGCATCTTTGAGCATCTTTGGGCATACTCATACTCAAACTTTTTGTGATTTTCATGTCCTGTCCTGTCTGCGCAGTTTGCACATGCCAAATAAGAACGAACCTAGAAATGCCCAGGCAGTGATAACGATCATCCCGCTCGTTTCAAGTGTGGAATTTGAATTGGTTTGCACCATCCAAAACTGACAACCCTCTTCTCAGTCCAGGCATCTTCTTCAGAACGAAGCTGAGCTGAGCAATGAAGCACGAGAAGGCGAAGGCGCAGAAGGCGTAGACGCGGTTCATATCCTGCAGGATGCACTCCTTCTCTTCCTGCCAGGCACCGGCCATGTCACAGGGTACAAAAGTGGTGCCCACAGTTAGCTGCATAATAGTTAAATGTTATATAGTTCGGTTTATAACCAATTATAATTAACCATACTATATAATCACTGGCGGGGGAACACCGTGGGAACCCCTTGTAGCATTCTGAGTCCGGATTTCTGAATTCATGGCATCCTGCCTGACCGAAGCCGCCGACGTTGGGATTGGTGGTGATGGGCTCATCCTTGGTCACCTCATCACCCACCTGCACCACGATGTCAGCACCTGTCAGGCACTCCTGGGTCTTCACCTCACCCGAAGGCGTGGTGATGCTGACCTGCGGCGCGATCGGCGAGACACTGGGGTCCTAAAGTTTGGGAGGTGGGCGTCTGAAAATGAAGTATATATGTCTCAAAATGGCAATTGCTATGGGGGAAATGGTGATATCAACCATCAAATCTGAAACTTAGAATTTCAGACAAACTGCTGGGTGACTATGCAACACCTACAGGTACATCGGTACATCTGCAAAAAAAAACTTTGTTCAAGCCTTCAAGCCATCGATGGCGGAGATGGTGCCGGTGGCGGATGCCAAGAACTGGTTGTTGTTGCTCTGGTTGCCCTCAGGATACACCTGCAAGTGGATTCAGCTCATTAAAAGACTCCGACATCCTCCAAATATATCGAGTACCTTTTATAGCAAAATCCAACACCACAAATGTTCACGGTAACTATTCGTAGCTTTCAACCGTTTCAACCTCAACCTGTAGTGGTTTACCTTTAACACACAAAGACTGTCGACACCTGCGGCACTTTCTAGGCCTGACCACGGCCACGGTTGCCGCCAAAGTAGAAGATGCCCTTGCCGAAGATCACCTTGTCCTGCGGTCGGTGGGGTGGGGAACCCTAGGTTCGTTGATCATTGGGGCAGGTGGGGTACCATTTCAATACAGCCATCATGATTTGGGAGATTTTGGCCCTACGAAACCAGTATGGTTGAATATGGCTTAAATATGCTTAAATAATTACTCATCCGGGGTTGACAATTATACCGTTTCAAAGCCAAAACTCCAAGCACATCATGACTAATTAGCTATGCAAAGCCACTTCATGGGATAGATTTCCCTGATATCATGTTGTTGCCACAATAGGGACCACTCATCATGGTGCGAAAATGTTCTTATTGTTTTTCCATCTATTTCATCGGGGTTGGTATTTGGGGAGGACTGTTGGGTCAAGATTTTGTAGCTGTAAAGTAGCTCTGCCCAACCCCAATCACTACATTTTCCATGCCCAGGCAAAAAAAAAACACTACAAAAGTGCAACCCCAGCCTGGATAAAGGGTTACTACAAAAACCAAAGGATCTACAGTAACAAGAGGTCTTCAAGAGACCCTGAAAAAACCACGTAGATGTTTGTAGTGATTTTTAAGTAGATCCCACTGAGTCTTCAAGATCAATCCAAAAAAATGACAAAGTAGTTTGTAGTGATTTTTGGGTATACACCACTGACATCCACTGTGGCACTTCAATCCACCTGTGGCACTTTGGAAATCCTGATGTCCATATTGAGCCCAATTACACCGACATAGAATGCGGATGCATATATTATTAATTGGTGTATGTATATGAATGCGGCATCTCATAAAGATTCCCCAAGAAACACTACAAAGTTCTTCAGGGGTCAAACCCGGCTGATTTCAGAACATTGATCTTGGAACCCCACAAATTCACTACAATTGGTACTTTTAGGTCAAATCTGAGTGAACTCAGAAATCCATTTTGGGTCGACTATTATCTCGCATACTTAACCACTACAAACTTCTATGACCAGCCCATGTTTGAATCTAGAAACATATGTGACCTAGGGTTACTACAAAATGCAAGGACACATGGTCCTAGGGGGACTGTAAAAACCATTGAAAAACCTATTTTACAGAGGGCCCAAGCCCACTACTTTTGTAGTGGAAATTCCCTCCAGCATTCTATTTCGACATAGGCACGATAAACGCAAGGCCCTGCTTGAAGGCTTCATCCACTCATATCGCTTTGTTTTCCCACTATGGTATTCTAATCGCACGTGATTTAACCATATTCGATAGACTGAATGAATCCAAATTATATCCATTTGTTTCCACTAACCCCTCACCCCTTCAGCGTGCCAAGTCGCATTGGTGTTGGGATCAGGGGACAGCACAGGGAGCACCATCTTCTCGTAGGTTTCGCCTCGGGGCAAGCACTTATTTACCAGTCTCAGCCCCTGGATTTGCTGAGAAAACCCTCGGAACCAGCCTGGCACCGGGCCGGCAACCACAATGTTGGGATACTCCTGGTGCTGGGCGCGTTGTAGGTAGTGGGGACATGTTCCATTGAGCATTGGCTCCGTCAAGAGGAGAACACATAGGATTGGTGTTTTCATTTGGTTTCCGACTGTGTAGTTGATGGATGCTGCTCAAAACTCAAAGCGGAATCCTCGGATAACTGGGCAAAGAGACACCAGTAAGCTTCATGAATCAGCCGATTCAAAAACTGCACTATTTATATGATACTTCGCAGATTCTGAAAGTGCCTCAACCTCTCAGCAGCTGTGAACCATCTTCCCTGTCCTTGCTGTAGGGAGCCCAGGCCAAGCCCTTCATCTCCTTCTTCAGAGGCTTGGGGAGACGGTCCTTGGGAGCCAACTTCCATCCCTCAGGCATCACGGCAATGGCGCCAATGTTCATGGGGCCCTTGGAGCCATCAGCAAGAGGCTGGCGGCGCTTGGCGTACTTGGCTGGCACCTCAACCTCCATCTTGAAGATGGTGTCGGGGAGCACCGCCTGAGGAAGCCTCACCTCAATGCTCTTGCTGGCCAAATGGCAATTGGCGCACACGATCTTCCCAGTGTACTCACGAGGGTTGGCATAGTTCTGCTGGGCAAAGATAGGGTACGCAACAGCTGCCTCCATGGAGCTGGTGAACAGCATGGCGGCAGAGGCGCCTGCCAAAGCCTGCTTGGCAAAAGCCTGGATGCCCTCCATGTGTTTGTCAGTCTCCTCTGGGGTAGGAGCATCAGCTCCGTTCAACTGCGCGCGGCAGGCCACCAGGTGGTCGCGGTAGTATGACCTGATTACGGCAAACGACTTATTAAACGATTTCCCATAACTGAAACGTTGCCATCCAACAATGCTCTGGCAATGGCACTAGCACATCACCAAACCTTCTACGGAAGTCACCTGCGGAGGTGACCGATGAAAATCATCAGCTTTATTTAGTTGGGCTAAAATATGAGTGAATCGGGCATCATCTTCCCAAGCAGGGATGGAACAAAATGAAGACAACCCCACACAACACAGCCTAAAACTAGTCTGGAATAGTTTGGATATTCATCCTTTTTTGGTTGTGCTGATATTTACATGTTTTTTGGATCTTTTTGGTTTAACTTTCACAAGTTTGTTGGTCGCGTCCCAACATTTAAACATGTCCAGACAGTACATTTTTTTTCTGTCCCCTCTTTGTGTTGGTCAAATCCGAAACTATTCAATTTTCCCTCACAAGAAGGCAAAGGAAACAACCTGGTCACATTTTCCCTGGCAAAAAAAACATGTTCTCCTTCATTTCTACCCAAAAAACTCCTCGAAGTTTCCAGTGGTGCCAACCATCTTTCCTGCACGTTGCTTGCGCGCACGTCGCAGGCCAGCGGCAGCCACCATACCACAGGCTGCTAAGGCTGCGCCTGGAGATCAAACTATTCGCTGCCGCTGCAGGGATGACTATCCCGAAATCAAGAAAATATGACGGCTTCGTCGTAATTACTTTATAATCCAAGTTTTGACCATGACGCAGGAAGGAAACATAAATTTATCAAATCACCAGTAGTACCGCACAAGGCGGTGGCGGAAGTTTCAAAAATAGGAAACCTATAGGAGAGGCTGGTTGTTGTGAATCAGGGATGGCAGAGCGAAGCCACTGATGGACTGAAAGGTGATTGATCTCTTTCACTCTTTCTCTCTCTTTCTCTCTTTTTCTCTCTGTTTCTCTATCTTTCTCTGATTATCTACCGACCTACCTACTGATCTATCTATCTATCTATCTATCTATCTATCTATCTATCTATCTCTCTCTCTCTCTCTCTCCATCTCTCCCTTTCATCTGTCTATCTGTCTACCTGTCTTTCTGTCTATCTATCTGCCTGTCTATCTGTGGTGCAGTGTCATTCAGTGTAATGTAGTGTGGTGTAATGTAGTGTGGTGTAATGTAGTGTGGTGTAGTGTAATTTAGTGTAGTGGAGCTCCAAAATGTAACCCCTCTCAGGAAATCAGCACCCTGACCTCCCAACCTCTCTCATGAACATGTCTTTTGTACTGCGCCTGCCACGGAAAATGC